TTTTTTATTGGATTTAAATGGAACTGATTAAACTTTTAACCACTTTGTCGGGTTCTTTGCTAGATTTCTATTGCCGTTAAAAATGTGCTGCTACCCACATTTTGTAACAGATGGCGTGTTCCTACTACAATAGGTACGAGAATTTAATATGAAATGTAATGATTTCAGTGCTACACTCACAACAATCTAGGCTGGAAGATCCACGTAGTCGATCCAGGCACAAAAGTTCCTTTCCCGGGAGATCAGCGGGCACAAATCAACATGGCGCCCCGTCCCGCGCCGGCGCAACTGACAGCTGTCACCTCTGCCATCGCCATCGGAATGATCAACATGGCCGCCAGATAAGGCAAAGATATACACGCGAGCTTGGGGCCTTGAGTACTGAGTTACTGGCTCGATGGGAAGACGTGTTAGATTTTTATAGGTATTGAAAAAACAATATAATTATTCAGCCTATGTACTCAAAGAAGATAGAAAGGAAATAAAGAAGATTTTAAAGGCAACTTTCATGCCGCGTCGCGGGGGTTTTAAAAAGTGACACGTACAGTCAAGCATAAAAAGTTATAACGAAATTTATTTTTGGTCAAAAAGTCAACTGTTATCTTCTTCATTTGTAAGTACTTACTGAATCTCAACACGTCATCTCATCGGAGTATAGATTGTGATATTGTTGGGATAAAGTATAATGTGCCCTGAGTTCGCGCCTCTTTGTACAGGTCTAAGAAATTGGGTAAATTATGTCAATCTACGTACATTATTATCAATTTCATATCAGTCATTATAAAGTGCATTTTGTGCATTAACTTTACAATTTAGGCTTTGGATACTTGAAAGTATGTAGTTAATATACTGTGACTATTAACATTTTATACAGTTACCCCCTTTCTTGTTAAAATATAATTGCCTATAGATAGACAATAATAAAGCACAACAATTATACAAAAGCTATTTATTCTTAAAATATAAATATACAATTATTATTATTTATATACAAATAACTATTTGTTAATATATTTGAGTCGAAGTATGTACTTTGAAATTGAAAAAAGAACTGTAGCGATAGGTAGAGTTTATATTAATGGTAATTCACGATATTGAAAGGAATGTTTTTTATTTGATATGAGATAAATGTTTATTGACAATAATATTATTATTAGAAACTGAATTTAGATGTCGTTTTGGAAAATTAACAATGGCATAAATTATATATTGGTTAAATATTTAATTATGTGTTACTTTTCTAAAAATATAACGCTTGTAAAACAAGTTTTATCTTCCCACTTAATAGGGGGCTATGAACAGAACAATATCTCACTAAAAGACAGTACCTAAATAAGTTAGTACTGTTTGAGCATTAGCAAGGTTGAGCTTACGTTGATTGAGGCTCAAATGAACCAGAACATAATAGCATAGTACAAAATCGTACTTATGTCAACTCATGCTCACGACATGGATTTTTCATGGATTTTATAGGTAGTAGTTATGAAAAGCCACTTTAACACTAGCTAAAATGTAAATAGAGACAGTTCAATACAACACAGTTTCCGTATATTGAAATGGTCTCAGAGATTAGCTCGTGCTCTTGTATTGTAACAAAACCCTGATATTCATAATTATTGTAATGATTGCTACTTAATTTACTGTGACTTGAGAAACAATAATTAGATAATGGCTGACGCGATTTATATTTTCATAGTAAGGGGGTAATAAAATAGGTATTTATGGAATTGATTCCGTGAGTTTGGATTGATGGGTTTTGAAATTTTAGTCAGTAGGTATCTAAATAAATTTAAAAATGCCACAATGGAAAACATTGACAATAAATTGGCGTATTATTATATTGACACGTATTTTTTAGATTTACTTTGTAAGTACGTATACATTTTTATACCATGTGCTTGACAATAAATAATAAACTGTGGTATAATTTTGTAAACCAGTATAAATAAAACATTAATGAATGTAACTTGATATTTATATTACAGTGTCGAATTAATAACGTTAACGTATTTTATTATTTTACTTTTTAAGAATTTTAATATTCGATGGAAGAATTTATTCCATATTTAAGATAAATACCTAGTGGTAGACAATAATCTACTCTCTTGTTTAGGGATTTAAAATACATTATTGAAATTTTGCATAAATCGCATGCTTTATGGATGGGATTTGGAATTAAAGACAATAAAATAATGTTTAAATGGAATTTTGGACTGTTTAAATAAGATGCTGACTAAGTGAAACGTAGTCTTAATATTTGAGCCTAACTCATTGACAATAATTGAGAATTATCAAATTAAGTGTAAATATTGCGCATTTTTCTCACCACTATTTTTACAAGAATGGTAGGTATCACTACCGATTTCATGTGCATTTAAAAACTTTTTAGGAAATCAGTAATTTTATAAACATTTGATGAATTGAATTACTTGTTATACATTAAGTAATAGAAAATACTTATCTTTAATTAACGGTACAGTACGGTATTCATACTGATTTTACAATAAAACCAATTAAGGCTCGGAGTAAACGATGAACACACAATCACTAAACAATACTAATCATAATGGCACAATGTGTTACTGAGAAAATGTCAGATGCTTGCCGATTATTATAACTTGTTGTGTAGTTATTAAAATATTTTCAGATACAAAATTATGTTGTCGACTGTACTTTTCTGTCAACGAAAGTACTAATGTTGCTAGAAAAAAAATGATTGGTAGTTTTGTAGTAAAATACAGGATAAATTAATTCATTATTTTTGTCTAATAATTATTATTGTGGGCACTAAATAATTGAAAGGCTCATTTAATTTAATTGTATTATCTCTGATCTACTAATAAGGAAGAAAATTCAACAATAACCATCACAAAGCAATACCTATAAATTCAACTAATCTTTACCAACTTCATATTACCTACACAGATTTACTTAAACCGGAAAAAACTAGTGAAAATTATAGTATTAACTAGTTTTACAAAATACATAACTGCTGTTTTAAAGATATTGCAACATTTGCAACCAACCCCAAAAATAAAAAACTTTATTTAACGTCCGCTTAGAACCAGTGGCGGTAACTTCTTTATTCATACAGTCGACTAACACACTTTTTGGAATTTAAAAAATATAAATGTTGATTAAAATAAATAAAATAAATTATAGTTGATTCCAAAATTATATGTATTCAATATATTAGAGAAAATTCGTTTCTGAAAACTTTACCTATTAAATGTAATGATAGTTTAAAATAGAGTAATTTGAAATCATTTTACACTTTGTAGCTGTAGATGTTGATGCACAAATTTAAGTTTATTAATAAGAATTTTATTAGTAGTTAATTATTGTAAAATGATGTATAGTTAACTGTATACAATACAAATTTACACTGTGCAATTACAGGATGATGGCTTAGCTATTGTCTTCAAAGTTTGTGTGATTTCAAAATACCATCTAAAGGAAGTACAATTATTGCAGCAATATGATTGACACTAATAACATTTAATAGTTTATGTTGATTAATAAGGTAACAATTTTACTTAAATCAGATAATTTACAAAAATACTTAAGTGAAATTTCATGCTCACAAATGTCAATATATTATGTCTGTAAATTCAATAAAAAAATTAACGAAGCATTGTTCCTCATATTTATCGTGTATTTTAAAATATTCATAATAATATTGTGTGTGATTTGTAGCGGCCGTCCAAATAGATGCAATTGTAAAACATTTACGGCCGCAAACGAATGGTGTTATTCCTACTTTAATAGTTCCGTGTTAAAAAGGATTCGTGATTTTAAAAAAAAATCAGTTATCCTAAATTTTAGAAAGTACGTGATATTAATACGTTGTTTTACATACTTGCTAAAAGTTCAGGACTGGACCAAAATAAACGCCTTTTTAACATGGATCGATTCTTTTACCAGCTGTCTTGTTTGATATTTCGAGGAATTGCTTAATCCTTATGTGACTATACCGGTAACTACACAATGTTTGAGGTGTATAATCAATTCTTTTAATATAAGTTTTTATTCACATAAACGCATTATTTTCTAAGATATGAGATAGTGTACTTTTTTATTTAAAAATTATTATCCATCAGTGTGATGGTGATAGCTTGACAATAAAGTAAGTCGCATTTGCATTATTCAATTTTCAACATAGCTTTGCCTATGAGTAATTACTTAGTACAAAATTGGTAAGTTGAAAATGCAACTGAATTGATAAACTGTATTAAATTAAAGTTATTAATTCGTTAGCCTTTTGTTTATTAATTACTACTACTTGTTTTATAAAATTTGAATTTTCTCTAGAGATTGAATTTGGTTGGTTAAGTTTATAAAATGATTTTCTATAGATTATGTTTACGTAAGTATAATTTAAAACATGTTACTTTATAATACCCATTTAAAATACTTATTGCACAAATTTTACATTTAGTAGTTAGTATAAAAAGTAGCGTAAACGGAAGCTTTTTATAAATACCTAACTGCATGTATATATTTACGTGTAAGTTAACACGATTTTGTAAAAAATACCTACTCACATTTTTAAAGATAAATTGCTGTTACTTTTGTGTAATTTATAAAACTTTGACAATAAACCTTTCCTTAAAGTATCGGAGTTTCATTATGTACTATGTGTACCAATTTATACCTACAATATTTTGTTGATTTCTCACTTCAAGATCTACTGTGGCTCGTGAGCAATATCATAACAAATACATTATTCGCTCCAAAAAAATGGCTGCTATATTTCTAAGACCGGTTTCATTATAAAAATGCTGAGGTGTAATTATGTAACATTGAAAATCAATCAGAGCGAGATTTTATTGCTATGAGCGCCCGGCCCATTATTTTTGACAGATTGACATTTTGACAAGCATTTTGGTAGAAAATGGTAGAAAATTTTAATGTTGGTGTAGTAGTCGTATCGTATCAAACATTGCGATCCTATGTATTACTTTTCTCTATGATTGCGATTGCGGTCACTGACTCACCGTCACTCAGAATCTTGTATTTTTATTTTTGTTTCGTAAGTTTCGTAACATTGTTTAGTGTTTTGTAAAGAATATTCATTTTAAGCGTACAGTGCAGTGTTATTATTTAATAATTTAAGTCTCACAATGTCTTTGTTATGATTTCAATCAGTGATTATAATCGACAGGAAGTGTTTTAGTGTCTATTTGTTTTTCATTTTTTGTGCTAATAATTGAATACAATGGCTGAAAAAGTAAGTTATACTATTTAAATCTAGATTAATAAGATATACCTGTTATATTGCCTCTTTGTAGAAACCTTTCGTTGAAACCATTGTAGTGACAAAGAAAAAAAACATGACAAAAAGTTAGCACCTGTCAACAATAGGGAAGCTTTACAATTTTTGGCAATGTAAAGAAAATTCAAAGTGCTATTTATTAAACCCTTTTAAATTTACAAAGTTTTGTCTTATCTAAATTGATTGTGCAGGTGTTGTTTTAGTCTTGAGATATTTTATGTAAATTGTAGGTTATTTATCCAAGTTTAGCAAAGCAAGGCAAATTAAAAAACAATGGTAAGGTGTGGTAAGGATTGTTCAAATGAAATCTGTAATTTGACCTTATACCTATCAGAAGACTGGATTAGATTTTACATGCTTAAGATGTGGAATTGCTGGCTAGATTTTCATTTCATTACTAATTTTCTAACTTTACGGTCAATGCATTTACTAAAATGTCTTACGTTCTAGAAAATCCAAGAAAACCCTCTACCAGAGGAGCAATCAGAGGCAGCTGATAAACCAAAAGAGCCTGCACCGGACAAGCCAACAACAGTCCCCGTACCAATCCCAGTGGAGCCTGTGATAGTGAGACCGTCCGTGCCTTCGTTTACGAAGACTCCGCCCAATGATTTGTATAGGCGGTTGCTACCAGCCGTGCTTTTTGTGCTGACGTTTGTTACTGTGATGACGATGCTGCTTATCTACATGGACAATGCTGGTAAGTAAATAGTAAATGCTTTTTAATTTTGTCTGATTTGAGATGTCTTTTTAATTTATAGTAGAAAAACTAATAGAGGGTTTTTATTATGCACAAAATTGTAGGAACTAAGTTTATAGTCCGTTTAATATTGTTTAGGTTCAAATTCTCTATTTTGTAACATTGTTTAATGTTTTGAGTAGTGTTCAATTTAAGAAGAAGTACCAAGGTCAGCAAATTACATAATTCAAATTACTGATGTCCCTGAAATCTGTTTGTGCCTGCATCATGTATGAGTCACTCTTGTGATGCACCATTAAACTAGTTGATGATAGTGTAGCTCATCACACTCAATTACGTAATAGTGTATTTCCTTATTGTAGTATTGTACTCTGGAATTTTGTAGTGTTTTTCAAAGGGTTTTCTTGTGTAAGCTATATTAAATGGGCATAATGAAGATTTCTTTAAAGTAGCTGTTAGGGGCGCTATACAATTTGTCATGCATTTAATGTCATTCTTTTACGCACTCGCTAGCAAGCACACCTTAGAGCCCTCGCTTACGGCGACTTATTGTCGCACGTTTCGTAAAGGACTAACGTGCGTTAGTCGCATTTGGAACGCACAAAGAAGTGATGCCAATGCCCTACAGCAGCGTGACTGCATCGCTACAAAATGTCGCCGTAGGCGAGGGCCTTAACGTAAGCGCCTTCCCGCCGCAGATCGCGTGAGGGGGGTAAGCACACTTAGGCCGGCAATACACGGACCGCTTGAAGCAGTCAGGGTCGACAGCTTCAAGCTGCGACTGCACAGTGAACTGCAGAGTTCTATGGACGCACATACACGAACCGCTCGAGCAGTTGCAACTGATTCGGGCGGTCGACAGCACGGTGAATTTTCATCGTGCGGTCAAGCAGTCGCCAGCCATACACTAACTGCTCGAGCTGTCGACAGCTCTCGCGCAGTTACCTCCGCCCACTTTCTTCAATCCACGGCGCGCGCGCTTGTGATTTGTTGAGCAGTTAATACCAACTGCTCGAGCAGTTATCACTGGCAGCTTCAAGCTCTTGACTGCAAGAGCGGTCCGTGTATTGCCGATCTTATGTCAATGAGGGCTATCGTTTTAGTGCTCACCAGTTAGCGCCACTGTAGAGTAAGGTCCTGTCACTTGCTAGTAGCGAAGACAGTGGCGTTAACTTGTGAGCGATAAAGTGGTAGGAGGACTATCGTATTTGCACTCATCAAGATGGCGCCACTGTAGAGTAAGGTCCTGTCAATCGCCAGGGGTGCCAACTGTTAAGTAATAATAATAATAATAATTCAAAAGGCGGTGATCCTCAGTACGGCACGCATTGTCCGGAGGTTCCTCAGCCTGTGACCCTGACCACCGGTAGCTTGGGCCCTGCTCCGCTGCCAGCGGGTTAACTATTTTTAAGATTTTTGTTTTTATAATGTATTTTTATTTTTTGATAATTACTATGTAAAAAGAAAAAATTAAAAATAAGAAAGAAAATTGAATAAAAGAAATAATAATAAATAAATTTATTCAATTAAACATTTGGATCTAACAAGGGGTGAACACTGACACCGAAACAAGGTGATATAAAAACGATAGCCCTCATTGATTTGTATGGTCTTCCTTACCCTCAGCGCTGGGAGCGCAGCAGTTCCGTCTGAACATGACGCGCGACTACGAGCTGGCGCGCATCCCGCAGGAGTCGGCGGCGCTGGTGGCGTACGTGCGCCAGCTGCACCTGCAGCCGCGGCCGCGCGCGCCGCCCGCCGCGCCGCCCGCCTCGCCGCGCGCGGACCTCGTCACACGCCTCGTTGGGGACACTGTGAGTATACAGGAAGGCTGAGTGTGTTTACAACAAACGTCCTCACTAGTGAGCGCGTAAAAAAGTGACATTATTATTGTATGACGATTTGTACAGCGGAAAGTTTCAAGAACTAAAATTTTCATACATATGTTTAACGCAGAAGATGTCGAATGCTTTGATGTAAACTCACACTACGCCCACCAATCATGCAGGATATCTCAAATCATACCAACCCGGTCGAGGTAATTGCGTATAACCCGATTAAACTAAATGCGCACCTCCCTGGAATACGACTCTCCCTTGAACTCACACTCGCATGTCTCCCCGCGTTCGCCTTGTCCGTACCAGAGCGTCGATGTGACATCATGGTCACCAGGTGCGCAGTTAACTTGACCAAGTTATATGTACTACGGACAGAAAGTTTTCTTCGCGAAGGTATTTAAAAATATCAACTCAATGTCAACAATATGTAATTTAGCTTGTCTCAGAGTCGAGCACCGTTTCGTTTACATACTGCTACAAAAAGCTATTGTATCGCCGTCTATCGTGGACGTCGTTTGGCTGAATCAGAAAACGTAACGTAGTGACGACGACGAGTGATTTAGTGTAATTTTATGCTTTAACTTTATTACTTTTTCCGCAGCAAAACGGAACATTCGTAGAATTCCTTCCGCGAGGTCCACGGGACCCCACCACGCTTTATCTGGAGAGCAGCCGAGGCTGGGAAGGCGTGGTGGTTCGGGCTGCGGCCAGGGACTACTTAGCGCTTAGGGGCGGAGCCCGAGCGCTGCACGCCTGTCTGAGCCCCACTGTGCATCCTAGAGAGGTAAGATTGGTTAAGATGTATGCCCGTTTTCCTCATCAATCCCTAATTTTTAAGTGACCCCTATGGTAACAACAGGAATTTTGTTTTCATAGGGGTCACTTAAAAATTAGAGATTGATGGTGAAAACGGGCATTAAGCTTCCTCCGAATGAGACCATGGTGTTCAACGTTCGTAGTGGATTCAACTGTGATATGGAACTGCCGTGATGCGATACACTATTTAGTCCCAAGAGACGGAGCTCGGGCGATGTATGTATGATGTCAGCCCGACCATGCATCCTAGAAAGGTAAGATTGATTCAGATCTAAGCTTGCTCCGAATAAGAGAGAGCGTGGTGTATGACGTTCAGTGGATTCAACTGTGATGTGCAACTGCCGTGATGCGGTACACTAAATAGTCCTAAGGCCTCAGCCTCGAATTTCGCGGGCAGCGGGGCGGCGGCGGTAGCGGCGCGGGAGCGGCAGGATCTTATGCGTAAAATCAAATAGACCGGTTCTCGAAAACAGCGGCGCGGGAGCGGGCAACGAGCGTTAGGAATAAATTTGAATCGAAATAAAATTGTCGCCGTTGTTCAAACATTTCGTTCGCGAATAAAAACAAATATCTTGACAACACAACCCCGAACACAGTTTCCTCCCACTTATGGCGAGTGACGGAGCACCGGGGTCTTTTTAGTGGGTATGCCTCGTCCTTCTGACTTGGTGAGCCCCACATAACCTACCCTGTCCCCGCAGGGTAGGTATGCGATTCAACGCATTTTTTCCCTGTAAAAAAAAGGTTCCTTGACTTGATCACGACCCCTCTATCAAGACAGCAACGTCAGAAGAATCGATCAGCTTTTCCTTACCTTTGTGGTCAATAACAATGTTTTTATGTGTATTTGTATCCTCCCCAGGTGACATACCAGTCCCCAGACAGCCATTCAGCAATGTTTTCATCCCGCGTGCTGTGTCTCCCGCTGTACACCGTCTTACTAGCTGCGGAGGCCACGCACGCTCAATACGCACTGCTGGGTGGAGACAAAGTGTTGCCAGCCTTAAAACACGTGCCGTTTGGGGACAAAGTGCGACTTCAGGTGAGTGATACATTCAAACACTTTATTAATTCGTTCGTTCGTTTCAGCCAAATGACGTCCACCGCTGGACAAAGTCCTCCCCTTATTTTTGCAATAACCGGTCCTCTACCAGAGGTCGCGCCTGTAGAGTAACTAAATGTGCACTATTCACTGGCTCACCGTCACACCAAGCGTCTCATTGCGGCACGTCCGTCCTCGCCGGCGTCTGCCGTTCGACTGACTTGTTTCACTCGTAACGATGTCACGTGACTGCCTATCACTTGTGTACGTGAGACAGTGTACTGTGTATCTAGATCGTAGATACAAACAAACAGATCGTCGGTCTAACGAGTGGGAGGACTGCCTGCACGTTTTCTGGACCGTGGTCACCCCCCTGGACAACCTTTGTGCTTCGACGGTTATACGGTTTATAAGCTATGTCTACGCTCCGATCATTGGTCTCTACCACAGGCGCATGACCCTCTCTTATTTACCAGAGGCAAATGCTCCCACTAGGTGGACGGACGATATGGTGAAGGTCGCGAGAGGTGCCTGGATGCGAGCGGCGCAGGACCGGTGTTTGTGGAAATCCTTGGGGGAGGCCTTTGTCTAGCAGTGGACATCTTTCGGCTGAAACGAACGAACGAACGAAATGGAGGATTTGGGTTTGGAATATGGGGTTAAGGAGGCCTGATGTTCGCATATTTGTTCCTCAGTCGTTTTTATGATATCCACAGGAAGAATAGAAGTGCCGGCAATCATACCAGCATTTTTAAACTAATTCAAATTCTGTGTACTATGTGTAGGCACTTAGATCCGGTTTCCACCAAAGCGGAGCTGAGAAGAGACGTGTGTTGAATAACCAATCAGTTATTATTGTTTCCACTTCACGTCTCCGCTCCGCTTTGGTGGTAATTCGGCCTATAATACACGTCCTAAATATAGCTTTACCTAAAAATATTTATCATCAACAAAACGCTCACATGGTTGATCGTCCACAGGTGATAGAATACCGCTCATCAGACCCGGTGCTCCGCAACCAGACGGCCGAGTTCCTGGCCGCACGGAACTACTCCATCGCTGCCCAGTACGAAGACGCCGTGATGTTTGCGCTGCAAGGGGACGCCTAGGAAGGTAGGGGTGGGTTAGTTTGGAAGGGTCGAGTTTGAAGGGTTTTAGGCTGGTTTTAGTGTCACGCGGACTGTCAGTGCGCATCGCTCCGCACAGTCGATCTGTATGAACTGCTAGGGAGCGGAGCGGTTCCTCCGGACCGCATTACTCTAAAACGCTCCCTAGAAGTTCATACAGATTGGCCGTGCGGAGCGGGTCCGCACCGGACGGTCCGCGTGACACTAAAACCAGCCTTACTGATAAAGGGTGAGATTGGAGAAGTTTGGATGGTTTTGGTCGAGTAAATACAAATGAGTAGGTCATCTTCATAGAAACGCACCGAGCGCGGTTTGTATGTGAGCGCGCGCCAATACGTATGCGGCGCGCACGCACACACTGACAAAATTTAGCGGGGACATACAAACCGCGCTCGGTGCGTTTCTATGAAGATAACCTACTCATTTGTATTTACTCTGGTTTTGCTGATGAAGCTGATGAGTTTAGTGAGGTTTGGATGGTTTTGGTCGAGTTCAGACTGTTTTGGGGATCAAGGAACACCAAAGTGTCGCCTAGAGTCCACTTTGATCACCTGGGTGGTCAAATCCATGTGATCAAGGTGATCACCCAGGTGATCAAATCCATGTGATCAAGGTGAATAAACCTTTTGGTCGGGAAGAGACGTCACTGTTGGGTAATTTGGATTCGTTCCACTAAAACAGATAAGACATTTGGATATTTTAAACTCTGCCATTTATTTTTGCCATACCATTGCTAATATAGGTGAAAGTCCGTGGTTTGAAAGTTTGTAATTAATGCCGGTCAGGAAATTCTGCAAAACACTTTGAACTCGACTAATCTCGCCCACACTCGAGTGATTATGGAATCACTCGATGAGGCTGTTTGGGTGGCCAAACAGCCTCATCCTTTGAAGAACACGACGTTGCCTTTACGAATATTCCTCTACACGTTTATACAACTTGTTACACAGCTCACGTTGAGCCATATTGCTCTTGTATGCTTAAGACATCCTTGATAATTTGGCTAGAAACGGTTACAAGACAATGTTAGGTTTACTCTGCAAAACATGACATAAAATCATTTGTAATTCGAGTGTGGTTTGGAAAGTTATTAAACGAACTATTATATCATAATAAAGTTATTTTACTCGACGAAGCTCATGAAAGTTATATTTACCTATTTTTGCGGGAATTAAAGTGTTACTAACAAACTCTTTCACACGTTAACAAAATGTATTGCATCAATTTGGCTGTACCTATTATTTCACTCATTCTGGGAATGAGAGAGTGAGACAAATACATCAACATCGTTTTGCAAAGTAAACCCATTGTCTTGCCGGTCTCATTATCTTAAGAAACTCGCTTTTTCCTCAGAGTCAATGGCACATCACAAATTACGATCACAATTTATAAAAATAGTCTCATAAATTAACTTATTCGTTTTTAAATTTAATGAAATTAATAAAATAGTGTCATCTATTTAATNATAACAATGTTTCATACATAGGTTATAATTATGTCTGTAAATTCAATGAAAAAATTAACGAAGCATTGTTCCTCATATTTATCGTTATTATAAAATATTCATAATAATATTGTGTGTGATTTGTAGCGGCCGTCCATATAGATGCAATTGTATAAAACATTTACGGCCGCAAACGAATGGTGTTATTTCTACTTTAATAGTTCCGTGTTAAAAAGGATTCGTGATTTAAAAAAAAAAACAGTTATCCTAAGTTTTAGAAAGTACGTGATATTAATACGTTGTTTTACATATTTGCTAAAAATTCAGGACTGGACCAAAATAAACGCCTTTTTAACATGGATCGATTCATTTACCAGCTGTCTTGATTGATATTTCGAGGAATTGCTTATTCCTTATGTGACTATACCGGTAACTACACAATGTTTGAGGTGCATAATCAATTCTTTTAATATAAGTTTTTATTCACATAAACGCATTTCTAAGATATGAGATAGTGTACTTTTTATATTTCAAAATTATTATCCATCAGTGTGATCGTGATAGCATGACAATAAAGTAAGTCGCATTTGCATTATTCAATTTTCAACATAGCTTTGCCTATGAGTAATTACTTAGTACAAAATTGGTAAGTTGAAAATGCAACTGTATTGATAAACTGTATATAAATTAAAGTTATTAATTCGTTAGCTTATTGTTTATTAATTACTACTACTTGTTTTATAAAATTTGAATTTTCTCTAGAGATTGAATTTGGTTGGTTAAGTTTATAAAATGATTTTCTATAGATTATGTTAACATAAGTATAATTTAAAACATGTTACTTTATAATACCCATTTAAAATACTTATTGCACAAATTTTACATTTAGTAGTTAGTATAAAAAGTAGCGTAAACGGAAGCTTTTTATAAATACCTAACTGCATGTATATATTTACGTGTAAGTTAACACGATTTTGTAAAAAATACCTACTCACATTTTTAAAGATAAATTGCTGTTACTTTTGTGTAATTTATAAAACTTTGACAATAAACCTTTCCTTAAAGTATCGGAGTTTCATTATGTACCAATTTATACCTACAATATTTTGTTGATTTCTCACTTCAAGATCTACTGTGGCTCGTGAGCAATATCATAACAAATACATTATTCGCTCCAAAAAAATGGCTGCTATATTTCTAAGACCGGTTTCATTATAAAAATGCTGAGGTGTAATTATGTACCTAACATTGAAAATCAATCAGAGTGAGATTTTATTGCTATGAGCGCCCGGCCCATTATTTTTGACAGATTGACATTTTGACAAGCATTTTGGTAGAAAATGGTAGAAAATTTTAATGTTAGTGTAGTCGTATCAAACATTGCGGTCACTGACTCACCGTCACTCAGAATCTTGTATTTTTATTTTTGTTTCGTAACATTGTTTAATGTTTTGTAAAGAATATTCATTTTAAGCGTACAGTGCAGTGTTATTATTTAATAATTCAAGTCTCACAATGTCTTTGTTATGATTTCAATCAGTGATTATAATCGACAGGAAGTGTTTTAGTGTCTATTTGTTTTTCATTTTTTGTGCTAATAATTGAATACAATGGCTGAAAAAGTAAGTTATATTTAAATCTACATTAATAAGGTATACCTGTTATATTGCCTCTTTGTAGAAACCTTTCGTTGAAACCATTGTAGTGACAAAGAAAAAAAACATGACAAAAAGTTAGCACCTGTCAACAGTAGGGAAGCTTTACAATTTTTGGCAATGTAAAGAAAATTCAAAGTGCTATTTATTAAACCCTTAATTTACAAAGTTTTGTCTTATCCAAATTGATTGTGCAGGTGTTGTTTTAGTCTTGAGATATTTTATGTAAATTGTAGGTTATTTATCCAAGTTTAGCAAAGCAAGGCAAATTAAAAAAAAATGGTAAGGATTGTTCAAATGAAATCTGTAATTTGACCTTATATCAGAAGACTGGATTAGATTTTATATGCTTAAGATGTGGAATTGCAGGCCAGATTTTCATGCCTTCATTACCAACTTTCTAACTTTACAGTCAATCCTAGCACTAAAATGTCTCAATTATGTTCTAGAAAATCCAAGAAAACCCTCTACCAGAGGAGCAATCAGAGGCAGCTAATAAACCAAAAGAGCCTGCACCGGACAAGCCAACAACAGTCCCCGTACCGATCCCAGTGGAGCCCGTGATAGTGAGACCGTCCGTGCCTTCGTTTACGAAGACTCCACCCAACGATTTGTATAGGCGGTTGCTACCAGCCGTGCTTTTTGTGCTGACGTTCGTTACTGTGATGACGATGCTGCTTATCTACATGGATAATGCTGGTAAGTAAATAGTAAATGCTTTTTAATTCTTTCGTCTGATTTGAGATGTCTTTTTAATTTATAGTAGAAAAACTATTAAATGAGGGTTTTTATTATGCACAAAATTGTAGGAACTAAGTTTATAGTCCGTTCAATATTGTTTAGGTTCAAATTCTCTATTTTGTAACATTGTTTAATGTTTTGAGTAGTGTTCATTTTAAGAAGAAGTGTCAGCAAATTACATAATGCAAATTACTGATGTCCCTGAAATAATGTTTGTGCCTGCATTGTGTATGAGTCACTCTTGTGATGCACCATTAAACTAGTTGATGATAGTGTAGCTCATCACACTCAATTACGTAATAGTGTATTTCCTTATTGTAGTATTGTACTCTGGAATTTTGTAGTGTTTTTCAAAGGGTTTTCTTGTGTGAGCTATGTTAATGGGCTTCATCAAAGTGGATGTGAGTAGTAGAGGGGAGGATTTTCAGCTATGGTTTATCGTCGTCGTCATTTCAGTCGCAGAACGTCCACTGCTGAACATAGGCTTCCTCCAATGATTTTATCGCCTGGTTAGTATCCTGCATCCAGCACCTTCCTACTAACTTAATGATATTGTCGGTCCACTTTCTGGGTGGACGTCCCACGCTGCGTTTTCCGGTACTTAAGGTTTATCAATCAAAGCTTATTATAAACTGGAGACAAGATGTTTCATCTCTGCTCAGTTTCAGTAGAAATAATTGGTGAAAAATCGCCCTTATTGGTTGGCAAGATTGCCTAAGTTATAATATAGTTCTTGCAACTCAAAAAGGCGAGTGAGCTTTACTTGTGTGTGTACATTTACATGCACATAACGATGTACTTACGTGTAATGTCTATCAAACTTTTGATAAACGGAACAGTAGTGAGCTACCACACATGTAAACCTCATTGGCCTTTGTGAATTACAACAAAACTATAAATACACTCGACATCAAATAAATCGCTGAGCTTGAGCTTGAGCCAACTTTTATGGCTATAAAATTGTTAAGTTGGGATTAATTGCTATCCATCTGTTTTAAAGAGGACACGTGAGTTTATTATTTGGTTTAAAAATTGGTCTAATGAGAGAGATGAGCCCCAAGTGAGGTCTTTTTTCAAGTCCCATTTATGGTATATGTTAATCGTTTATTAAGAAACTAAATGTGTTTTTCTTTAAGTTTATTTATTGGGCTTTCAAATAACACCAATATTGTTGGGGCACCATGATTGTGTCAGAAGAAAATCTTTAAAGTTCGCGTCGCGGAAGGTGCGGTTTATTTGATGTTGAGTAATGCATGGATTACATCACTGTTACCCTCAGCGCTGGGAGCGCAGCAGTTCTGCTGAACATGACGCGAGACTACGAATGTGAAGATACTTTCATCACTGTGTGCCCGGCATTCTTTTGCTTGTTCATATAGTTTTCACTTGCCTTTACCCGCAGCGCTGGGAGCCCAGCAGTTCAGTCCGAACATGATACGGGACTATGAATATGAAGATCACCCGTTTATCTGCTTGTTCATATAAAGATGTGTTCACTTGCCTTTTCCCTCAGCGCTGGGAGCGCAGCAGTTCCGGCTGAACATGACGCGCGACTACGAGCTGGCGCGCATCCCGCAGGAGTCGGCGGCGCTGGTGGCGTACGTGCGCCAGCTGCACCTGCAGCCGCGGCCGCGCGCGCCGCCCGCCGCGCCGCCCGCCTCGCCGCGCGCGGACCTCGTCACACGCCTCGTTGGGGACACTGTGAGTATTGTAGGCTAAGAACTCACGGCGCGATTTTCACTCGCGCCCGCGGCGGTTGTGGAATTGCGGTTTTATTTCAAAACTCACGAGAGCGGTTATTTGCGCGGTTATTCTAAGAACTCACGCGTGCTAAGTCACTGGTACAAAATAGTCGCCCGCCGATCGGGCGGTTTTCGTGCGGGCGAACACCGCCTAGCGGGACCCGATTACAACCGCGCCCGCTGCGGACGAAAACCGCGTCGTGAGTTGTGCATTATTTTTTACACAAGTATCTGCATTCTACAGAAGCTGCGGGCCCGCAACCGCCGCGGGCGCGGGTGAAAATCGCGCCATGAGTTCTTAGCCTTAAAATCAGGAACCATTGTTTAGTCACCTATCATCTGTTTTGCACTGGAGCTGGGCTTTGCAAGTCGAACCTAGACTTCGAACTCCTCTTATGTTTTTCTGATTAATTTCATAGCGGGTACAGTGCCTCGCTGGGGACACTAAGGTGTTACGCGACATGAAGCGACACGTCGCAATACGACCAAATACTTCATTCTAACTTGCGAAACTTGTCGGCAAATGCGCTGAAATCAAAGGACTCGAAGTGCTCCGAAATTGAACACAGTGTCTCATTCAGCTAACTTCGATTTCCGTCAAGACATTTGTCCTCAGTAATTTGTTATACTGAATGATTGAGAATGTAAATTGCAATGGCAGTCGCCACTTGAATACTATTTTGCCATACATGTTGCCTAATGCGTGAATGCGCTAAGACTGAATCCCTCACAAGGTTGCATGAAAATTACGAATTTCGCTTAACTTCCTCGAAAATTCCGTCGAAACGCAGACATAAAGTTTGTGCTCTAACTTTCCTACCTTTTCTGCAGCAAAACGGAACTTTCGTGGAGTTCCTCCCGCGAGGTCCACGGGACCCCACCACACTTTATCTGGAGAGCAGCCGCGGCTGGGAAGGCGTGGTGGTCCGGGCTGCGGCCAGGGATTACTTAGCGCTTAGGGGCGGAGCCCGAGCGCTGCACGCCTGTCTGAGCCCCACTGTGCATCCTAGAGAGGTAAGACTACAGGTTAGACTCTATTACAGTGGTTCTTAACCATTAAGTCACGAGGGACCATTTTACCAAATTTCTATCTTGTCAGGGACCACTTTTTTTTCATAATTCTATGAAAGAGGAGGTCGATTTCTCACCCACTGTGCGCCATTTGCGTTGTGTTTACTCGACTCATCACGTCACGTTACTTGTTTATTACGACGTCTTCACGGACCACTTGGAATGCCTCCAGGGACCACTGGTTAAGAACCACTGCTCTATAAGATAGCTTTGACGACTGAAGTGCAAGTGGTGCGGGATTAACTTGCACTGAGGGGCGGAGCCTGGACCCTACAAGTTTGTCTCAGCTCTGCGGTGTATCCTGGAGAGATATGCTTATTGGTCAGGCTTATGATAGCTTGCTCTAAAGGGGAATAGAAAGCATAGTATGCGTAATGGTGGTTTACTAAGCTCTACGTGGAGAGCAGCCGAGGCTGGGAATGCGTAGTGGTTCGGGCTGCGGCGAGGGACTACTTGGCGCTTAGGGGCGGAGCCCGAGCGCTGTACGCCTGTCTGAGCCCCACTGTGCATCCTAGAGAGGTACGATTGGTTAAGACTTATGCCCGCTTTCCCCATCAATCCCTAATTTTTAAGTGACCCCTATGGTAACAACAGGAATTTTGTTTTCATAGGGGTCACTTAAAAATTAGAGATTGATGGTGAAAACGGGCATTAAGCTTCCTCCGAATGAGACCATGGTGTTCAACGTTCGTAGTGGATTCAACTGTGATATGGAACTGCCGTGATGCGATACACTATTTAGTCCCAAGAGACGGAGCTCGGGCGATGTATGATGTCAGCCCGACCATGCATCCTAGAGAGGTAAGATTGGTTCATATCTAAGCTTGCTCCAAATAAGAGAGAGCGTGGTGTATGACGTTCATAGTGGATTCAACTGTGATGTGGAACTGCCGTGATGCGGTACACTAAATAGTCCTAAGGCCTCAGCCTCGAATTTAGCGGGCAGCGGGGCGGGAGCGGCGGCGGCGCGGGAGCGGCAGGATCTTATGCGTAAAATCAAATAGACCGGTTCTCGAACACAGCGGCGCGGGAGCGGGCAACGAGCGGGCGGCGCACTCCAGTCTAGCGGCGCTCACTTCTTTTGCCCGCAATAAATCGAGCGGTAGGAATAAATTTGAATCGAAATAAAATTGTCGCCGTTGTTCAGACAATACTTATAACATACAAATATTTTGACAACACAACCCCGAACACAGTTTCCTCCCACTTATGGCGAGTCCGTCACTCGCACCGGGGTCTTTTTAGTGGGTATGCCTCGTCCTTCTGACTTGGTGAGCCCCACATAACCTACCCTGTCCCCGCAGGGTAGGTATGAGATTCAACGCATTTTTTCCCCGTAAAAAAAAAGGTTCCTTGACTTGATCACGACCCCTCTATCAAGACAGCAACGTCAGAAGAATCGACCAGTTTTTCCTTACCTTTGTGGCCAATAACAATGTTTTTATGTGTATTTGTATCCTCCCCAGGTGACGTACCAGTCCCCAGACAGCCACTCGGCCATGTTTTCATCCCGCGTGCTGTGTCTCCCGCTGTACACCGTCTTACTAGCTGCGGAGGCAACGCACGCTCAATACGCACTACTGGGTGGGGACAAAGTGTTGCCAGCGTTGAAACACGTGCCGTTTGGGGACAAAGTGCGACTTCAGGTGAGTGATACATTTAAACACTTTATTAATTCGTTCGTTCGTTTCAGCCAAATGACGTCCACTGCTGGACAAAGTCCTCCCCTTATTTTTGCAATAACCGGTCCTCTACCAGAGAGGTCGCGCCTGTAGAATACCTAAATGTGCACTATTCACTGGCTCACCGTCTCACACCAAGCGCCTCATTGCGGCACGTCCGTCCTCGCCGGCGTCTGCCGTTCGACTGACTTGTTTCACTCGTAACGATGTCACGTGACTGCCTATCACTTGTGTACGTGAGACAGTGTACTGTGTATCTAGATCGTAGATACAAACAAACAGATCGTCGGTCTAACGAGTGGGAGGACTGCCTGCACGTTTTCTGGACCGTGGTCACCCCCCTGGACAACCTTTGTGCTTCGACGGTTATACGTTTCACAAACTATGTCTACGCTCCGATCAAATGGAGGCAAATGCTCCCACTAGGTGGACGGACGATATGGTGAAGGTCGCGAGAGGTGCCTGGATGCGAGCGGCGCAGGACCGGTGTTTGTGGAAATCCTTGGGGGAGGCCTTTGTCTAGCAGTGGACATCTTTCGGCTGAAACGAACGAACGAACGAAATGGAGGATTTGGGTTTGGAATATGGGGTGAAGGAGGCCTGATGTTCGCATATTTGTTCCTCAGTCGTTTTTATGATATCCACAGGAAGAATAGAAGTGCGTGCCATACATAAATCATACCAGCATTTTTAAACTAATTCAAATTCTGTGTACTATGTGTAGGCACTTAGGTCCGGTTTCCACCAAAGCGGAGCTGAGAAGAGACGTGTGTTGAATAACCAATCAGTTATTATTGTTTCCACTTCACGTCTCCGCTCCGCTTTGGTGGTAATTCGGCCTATAATACACGTCCTAAATATAGCTTTACCTAAAAATATTTATCATCAACAAAACGCTCACATGGTTGATCGTCCACAGGTGATAGAATACCGCTCATCAGACCCGGTGCTCCGCAACCAGACGGCCGAGTTCCTGGCCGCTCGGAACTACTCCATCGCCGCCCAGTACGAAGACGCCGTGATGTTTGCGCTGCAAGGGGACGCCTAGGAAGGTAGGGGTGGATTAGTTTGGGAGGGCGATGATGGTCGACTTTGATGAATATTGCCAGAGTAAATACAAATGAGTAGGTCATCTTCATAGAAACGCACCGAGCGCGGTTTGTATGTGAGCGCGCCAATACGTATGCGGCGCGCACGCACACACTGACAAAATTTAGCGGGGATTAACGGGGAGTTGCGCCGTATTGGCGCGCTCACATACAAACCGCGCTCGGTGCGTTTCTATGAAGATAACCTACTCATTTGTATTTACTCTGGTTTTGCTGATGAAGCTGATGAGTTTAGTGAGGTATGGATGGTTTTGGTCGAGTTCAGACTGTTTTGGGCATCAAAGAACACCAAAGTATCGCCTGGAGTCCACTTTGATCACCTGGGTGATCAAATCCATGTGATCAAGGTGATCACCCAGGTGATCAAATCCATGTGATCAAGATGGAATAGACCTTTTGGTGGGTATGAGACGTCACTGTTGTGTAATTTGGATTCGATTCCATTAAAACAGTTAAGACATTTGGATATTTTAAACTCCGCCGTCTTGTATAAAATCTTAACATAAATAAATGAAACCGGTAAATAAATATACACATATTTATATAGGTGAAAGCCCGTGGTTTGAACGTTTGTACTTAATGCCGTCTTTGAATAAAATAAATTTTCGTCTCTTGTCTCAGTTAGAAAGGTCTGGAAATTCTGCAAAACAGTTTGAACTCGTCTAATCTCGCCCACACGAGTGATTTCGGTCACATCGTTAGGAGAACACGACGTTGCCTTTACGAATATTCCTCTACACGTTTATACAACTTGTTACACAGCTCACGTTGAGCTATATGCTTAAGACATCCTTGATAATTTGGCTAGAAACAGTTACAAGACAATGTTAGGTTTACTTTACAAAACCACAACAAAAATCATCGGTAATTCAAGTCTTATTTGGAAAATTATATCATGAACTACTATATCAAATGTTCAAATAAAGTTATTTATACTTGACGAAGCTTGGTAAAAGTTATATTAACCTATTTTTGCACACATTACTAGTGTACTCTTGGTCATACATTTTGTTTCACTCGTTCTGGGAATAAAAGAGTGAGACAAATACATCAACATCGTTTTGCAGAGTAAACCCATTGTCTTGCCGGTCTCACTACTTGAGAAACTCGAGTCAATGGCACATCACAAATTACGATCACAATTTATAAAAATAGTCTCATAAATTAACTTATTCGTTTTTAAATTTAATGAAATGAATAAAATAGTGTCATCTATTTAACAACGATGCTCAGAGTTGAGTCGCGTTGCTCAAAATGTATTTTCTAACAAAAAGGCTAAGGCCCAGAACAGACGGTGAAACGCAACTGCGACGAAACTGCAACTGCTACTTACTTTTGAGTTGCATCTAAGTTTCTGCCATAGCGTCCGTTGAGAGACCACACATGACGCGACCAGTTTGAAACTTTCAGTTTCAGAAATGATGATTTGGCAGAAACTTAGATGCAACTCAAAAGTAACTAGCAGTTTCGTTGCAGTTGCGTGTCACCGTCTGTTCTGGGCCTAAGGAATTCCTTTTGAGGTGATTCTACTGCTCATAAGAAAACTCTAATAAAACCAAACATAAATGGAGTCTACAACCCGATCGCGCTAAATGCGCATCTCGCAGGAATGCGACTCTCCCTCCCACTTACCTGCACACCTACCCGCGTTCGCCCCTTCCGCACTAGAGCGTTGATGTGACGTCACGGCTGTCAGCTAACTCGATCGGTTTGTAACTAATAAAGGCTCGGCCAAACCAACGCGATCAGCCGGCGTGCAGCGATGGCGACCTGACTTAAATGCATTAATCGCCATCGCTGCACGCCGGCTGATCGCGTTGGTTTGGCCGAACCTTTACTAGGATTCTATGAATGAGTCTTTTTGCTCATGGCTGAAGTCGCTTTGCTCAATTTTGAGCCACTTTGTCCACTACTTATTGGTGTCATAAAGTTCAAAGTATGCTTTTCATCTAAAATTAAATGTACACGGACTACCTATAAGATGTTGACTAAACGTTCTACTTACTTAAAATTTTTCGTTTGATTCTACGTTATTATAAAACACGTAACTATTTCGCAACTAAATCTACTTCGTAGCTTTAATAAATTATATGCAGCTATATGAACAATCTTAGCAAATTATATACTCGCAACATTTACAATAATTCACTGTCTAATTTCTATTATAATTTGTAGATAATCATAATGTAACGTCAAACTATATGCAACTTAACGTAAACTGATTTTGGAGTTCTAATAAAATTAAATAAATTGTTTACATTTACGCAATTTTGCATATACTTTGGCGGTTAATCGGCTACATCGAAATATGAACAAAATAGGCATAAACTTTTAATTGAATAATATTTAGTAACCAAACAAGGCTATTACATTTCACCTCTTACTTAAAAGCACGAAATAATATCGACGCGTGTGTCCATAAATTACCAATTTTGGGATGACATTTTGAGTAACTCATTACCCAGAATTTTTTTTTCGGTGATAAAAATGTAGTGATGTATATGTCAACGTGAAATTGTGAACTCTGTCAGTTTATAATATAACGCGTTAGATTGTAAACTAACAGTGGGTTAGGTTAGATTGTAATTTAACTACGTCAGATTATAATCTGACGGAATTCACAATTTTACGGTGACATATAGGTGTCAAGATGTGTACACACAAGTATGTACAAATGTTTTTGCAAAGACGCTTTGCAAATACGTTCCCATATACGTTTTGCTATAGGTATGGGAGCGGCAGTTGAGGGTGTTTTTGAGACTTCAACGTCAACGAGACTTCAGAATTATAGTTCCAAAATACTGAACTGTCCTATGCATGACATTGACAGTGGGGCGCCACCGTCGATACCGGATCGCTGGATTCGCTGGTTCCGATTTTTGCCATGTTGGCAACCATATAGTTGAACGATGGTAGCGCCCCCCTGTCATTGAGTTTGGTGGGACAGTTCAGCGTGGGTCATCTATAATTCAAAGTATGCTCTGTCACATCTTAATGTCAATGTCACTCCTCACTCTGTCGTGCCACTCCCATTCCTCAGCCAAGTCACAGTTAAGTCTAGACCCATAATATTTTAACCAAACTAAATCAATGACATGCAATCACTGTCTCGTGTGGTGATATTTATTAGGTATTATTTTTTCAGTGATCTGACATATTGTACTGTTGTTGATTGAAATGGTTAAATGTCAAATTAATAGAGCCAAATTATCTTACTATTAAAAATGATAATTTAATTACATTTACAAAAGATAAATGTGTTTAGTTTAGTTTAACAGATTGTTTTTGTTTGGTTACTAAAATTATAGCCCTCGTAAGTTTACTCATTTGAACATCACACCAGTTTATCGTGTTTGTGTTCCTTAAAAATCTTGAGTAGCTTTTTATCTACTTTCTTAAACCTCGAATCGGAGGAGTCTATCTGGATCTCTTACATTTTATTCTCTAATAATGTCAATAAGTTTAATTTTAAAATAATTCATTTAAGATTTTTAATTATTAATTTCGAATCGTGATAATTTAAGAATAATGATATTTAGTTAATTCAATGTAATGTTAATTTAATTTATTAAGTTTTAGCAATGTAGTAACACTTTTTTAACTTTGCATTTTATATTACTGGCAATAATGATGACAGCTGTAAGTAGGCAATAGCATTTTCACACACTTATAAGTCGACTGAAAAATGTAGTAGGAACGAAATATGCATAAAATAATGGTTTTCACAGAAAAAAGTGCCTTACTAGGGTTTTCATTTGAATATATTTGGTTTTCCTCGTAAATAATGTAGTTAAGACGGTTCCTAGATTTAATAGCAAATTTTGTATGCGATCAAATAGAAGTAACACCATTTCTTAATGTATCATTTAAAACGACAAGTTTTATAGTTTTTAAAGTCTACAAACGCACCGTAGTTACGCAGTGCGCTTATTGTTATAGCAAAATAATTGGTCGAAAATAGAAATATCTGTAGATATTATTTTTGATTGGTGAGGAAATATCAGCACAAAAATGAGCACTGTTAACTTGTCACTTTTAATAAATTTGACTTGAGAAAATTTGCTCAGCCCCAGCTCAAATCTTATCGATGGTTTTAGACGACAAATGTATGGGTTTATCATGTAATTCGATAAAAGTTTAAGCGCATCCTAGGTCTACTGATTGAAATAACCGACAATAAACAATATCGGGTTTTGAAATGTTTCTCAAGTCAAATTGTTGTTTGAATCCCACTAGCCATTTTCTAAATTGCAAGTGAAGACGTAAATTGTAGTATTTTTTAATAGTTTCACTGCCATCTAAGTTTTATGATTTAAATTGTGGAAAGTGTAGAGAATAGGATAAATTATAAAATGACGAATGTAACGGCTCCAGTATTTTGATTTTATATAAATTTTCAATTCGTAATGTACTTTTTAAGTCGATTTGCTCTTATTTACTCCAGGGTTTAATTCGAGTGATTTGGCGATTCTTAAAGGACAAAACATAATTCAAACAAGCATATGAAATGAAATTATCCCGAAATTATAACAGAGTTGAGCATCGTTCCAGAAATTGGTTACTTGATTCGAATTAAAAATTGGAGTAGATAGATATTAATTTCCAGTGATTGTATGAATCTTCAATAGTTTTAACTTCTTGTTTGTATGCGTTTTTAATAATTTGGTTTGAACATCGATATTTTACAACTCGAATATTTTTATTATTTTGTATTATACAATAATTATTATACAGTTTTATTGTTGCGTCATTCCAATTTGATTTAGAATTCCAATAATTTAGTGATTTTCAAAGACTGAATATCGAATATTTTTGTCATGGAATCGCTAATGATCGAACAAATGATGTTCAAATATTTTCTTACGAATAATTTACAGTATTAATTAATTGTATTTGTTTAATCGATGTATTAGGAGTGTAATGGATGACAATCAGCAACTAAGATAATGTTTTAGTTAGTCGTTAATTAATTTAAGAGCTTCAGTTAGAATAGTTTTTTATGCGCTCAATTTTTCACGAATAAATTTTAATGCTTAAAAATTCTTTAACTTTTATTTAAAAGTTATATAAAATTCACCCAGGGCACAACACTACACTACAGGTGTATACTACACACCATAAACTAATGAAAAGATAACTATCTACAATCTACTGTTATGCAAATGGAAAATAAATAAAAAAATGAATCTGAACCTTTTGTATGAAATGGAGAATATTGTCACGGTTATAGTGGGTAGGCCCCGCCCTTCTGGCAGGGAAAGCCCCACATACCCCCACGGATGGTGGGGTATGCAATGATTTTTTTCCTGACGAGAAAAAAAGAAAAATTAACACAAACTGATGGAAAATCAAATAAAACGCATTAATTCAGTATTTATTAAGTTTATTCATCGTGTCCTTGACGTAAACAATCATCATTCTTGATCCGATACCTTGTTCCGAAAACTTACACCTAGAAAATCATTTCTTACAATTTCGAATTTCATATTTCATACTCTTAAGTGGAAAGTACACAGAAAATGATTACATTGCTTCAACACAAATTAAAATCTAGGTATTGTGCGAATACAATCGACTCATGACCTAACACTGAATATACATTTGAATGAAAAAACTAAATAAAATAATCTTCATAATCAACTAGAAATAAATTTAAATTATTATTGCTTTTAAATCTCCGAATCAAAGTAATGGAAGAACTACGAAAACTAAATACATATTTACACGACCCAATAGTCTTACTAAATCAGGGTAAGTAATTAAAACAATAATCTAATTACTTTAAAAAATTAAANAAATTAAGTTTACTGTAAATTGCAAACAGCGGGAGGTCATTTTCTAGTGCCAATCTAGCTATCTCTCTCACTCAGTGCTGGAATCTAGCATGAGCAAAAGAGACAGACCGACCCGAGAACACGTTAGCCCCCTTTAATGTTTAAAATGTATGATTTAAAAGTGTTTTAATTGACATTGAAATAAACGCATTAAAAATCTACTTAAGTAGTAAATGAAACCTAGATGTATTTCCTACGAGTCATTGAATCGGGCACCAAAATGATATAAAGCACTCTAAAACATGAATGAAATGTAACGCGTACGAAGCTTCCTTCCCCCCGTGAGCCGGAAAAATATTTTGACATCTCTGAGCTTGGTCCCAATCTACTTACTATTTTTGATATTTCTTACGCACCCGTTACATTCCATCGAAATTATTATTTACAATATAAATTAATATTAATGTAACTAAATAATAACTCAATTTGTTACAATATCAGCAACTGTTACCGTTACAATCTCAGCAATGTAACGTATGGGTTACTTACGCCCGTATTTAAAAACGATGCTTGCCTAAGTGAAGCGGACAATCGAACGCACAGCGTTGAATAGAGCTCTGTGATTAGTTCGTATGCACGTATGTTACCCTGTGCGTCCACAGGCACTGTGAAACCAACAATAGTAGCGTTTGTGAACACGGGCGTTAGTTTATTTGCTGTTTACAACGTAACAAATTGGTTCTAAACATAGCTGCCGTATACACAACATAAGTATACATAATTATATTTCTATTGACGGGAATGACTTAAATGCATATTTAGACATCAGTTTTGTGATATTATATTGAAAAGGAATGATTATAAAGCTACATATTACATTACAAAGGAGTCGTATGAATTCCAGACGTTAATTACCAATACACGTAGATTTTTATAGGTGATATTATTGATACGTTATAAGAATAAGTTTAACCAGCAACAGTACGTTTTGTGTATGATTTTAACAGTACATACAAATTCTTACACATGTGTTTCGAACGTTGTGGCGCCATCTATAGGCGAGTGTAAGTGATGCTTAAAATTCTGTAGTATTTTAATTAGCACATGCAATAAAGATAAAATAATGCACTCCGTAGAGATGACAAATTATTATGTTCCTGTCTCTAGAGATTGGTATAGTAGGTAACAGATTTTTTTTAATATAAATTAGTAAACAAGAAAAATAATACTTCAAAATGCTAGAAGGACGCAAGAAAACAACGTTTATTTATAATAAAGTTTTATAAATACTGAGCCACAAACTATATTGATTTAATATTGTCGAGTTTACACCGTTCTTATTCACGTTTACATCAATTTTCCATCTAAACGTCGCTTTATTTAGAAATTTGCATAATATTAAGTGTTTACAAATTTGCAAACATGTTTTATTCAAGTTAATGACATTTCCACTCGTCATTGACATTCATAATTTTGTTTACATTCACAAATTTCCAAATCCATCGACTGTATAAACATTAACATAAAATGTACATAAGTTCGATACTTTAAGTACACAAGAATATTCAATTTACCTACCAGTATACAAAATTCCCTCACGTCCCATTCTTTTATATATACAGTCCGCCATTTTCTACATAACACTTAGAGTAAACAACGTACAGTACTATGTATTTTCATTTTTGACACTACTACTTAGGATAAGAGTTATTTTAAATTAGACACCTTATTAATAGATAGAAGTCCATGTTTGGGACACGCCCACATTTAGTTAATCAGTTATTTACCCTCATTAATATAATTAAATAGCGTCTTTGCTATGACTACATTTAGACACCGGCTGGCCTATGATGTGCGTCATGATAAAAACTTATCGATGGTTTTAGACGACAAACGTAGAGGCTTGTCGATATAATGCCGTGATAAGTTTATGGTGGCGCGTATCCTAGGACTACAGTCGGTTGCTCGTAAGTAGTGATGTGCCATTTTTAGAACCGGCAATCTTCCCCAATATTCCCAGTCAATTGGATTATTATGGGAATGTTACCGGGAATATAGGCACCTCTCTCTCACTCGTGACAATTGATTGTATTGTCTTACACTTTTTTGCTTCCTTTAAGCACGGACCTATTTTGAAATAGTTCTATTGGACATAAAATCCTTCAGCTCGGGAAGAAACTAGACAGTTTTCCCTATCAATCTTAAAATTGATAAAATAAGTAGCTAAAACGTAGGAATTCTCATAGTTCATCAAAGTTTTTAATCTCATTTTGAGCAAGAACAAAGAAAATCTACCTAAATCATGCAATATAAATAAATATTAGGTATAACCATTTACAATCTCTCAATAGTGTGAATAATTTCAAATAACTCGTCACGATTATATTATAGAAGCGGGTATAAAAAATAGTCTATCTACATGAATTATTCAACAACTATGTAGGTACTAGACGGTGCTACGGTTTGACAACGAACGGCAGTATTGTCGGGGGCACACACAGATGGCGTATTAGTTCAGACATGCGCATGAGTTGACAACGTAAAAGGCACCTCATTTCTTTGCTACAACTGTTTTTATTCGAGCAGCATAGTACGCAACCATAAGTCAAATTGACAATGCAAAATAGGTTTTATTTCCTACAGCCTAAGGCCAGTTTTTATCATCATGTCATCAATAGATGGCGCTATATCGCTTAGTCTTGAGCGTGTCAGAACAAATACGCCATTTGTGGTTGCACCATTTTTATTCGCAGGTAAATAAGGTGGGAACTATGCAGGTTATCACACATCTCCCTCTTTCTCTTAATAATGAGCGAGAGAGAATGAGCTGATTTGGTATGTAATGCCAATAGTTTTTTTACTACTAACGATGGTGGTGACAACTGTTCTCACCAGTCTTAACATTTAATTCCCTAAACTGCGTACTCAATGATACAATAACATAGTTATAATGTTTAAAATTGTTTTTGTCATAAATTCTTCTTTTGTATAAAAAATAATAAAACCATAATTGAAATCTAAAAAATCGTGGTATAAAATGGCAACAGGAATTAACTGGCGTTTCAATGGAAAATATTTACACAAGAAATAAAAAACAATTGAGAAAGAATATTAGTGAAGAAAAAATAGGACAGCTTGGCACCCGTCTCCCTCTTTGATATAGTATTAGAGCGAGAGATACTGTTTGCTGTCGAGAAGTCTTATAAAATATTTCATCTACCCCGGTTTTAGTACGAAAGAGATAAAAAGGGAATGTAATTCTTTGAAATATGAGTAAATACATACAAAAAAATAGAAGAGGAAATAATGTCACTAAATAAAATAGGCGCCAAAATCATACAGGTTTTTGCCACAAGGAAACTACTTTAGTTAGGTATTTGAGCGTTGAAATATTTGAAATACCGCTCTTGGCGGTAGTAACGGCTATACATACATACTATGAACCAACAACAATAATATCATGTGATAATTTACCTTGATATGCACCACTAACACTAATCTTTACAACCGTAAGTCGCGCAACGTCCAATTTATTTGGGTTAATATCAAAATCTATAAAACGTCCACCCATACAGCGATTGCATTCGTAGGTACATGAACCGTCACATTTTAGGGCGACAATTAGTTAAAACTAAATAAAAATTAAACACTTTCAATTACGTCTACACTTGTGCGGTGGGCCAAGCAAGTAGTTCGTCTTACAGATTTAAACACTTCGAAATTCCTAACGATAAAAGGCTGTATCAGATTCTTTTTCGGCACACTTGGTACGTTTCAATAAACTTGTTTTTTCAAGTGTCATATGCTCCTCCCACGTATACAAAAGGTGAGCATAGACTAGAGCATTTACTTGTAACAGAACAAAGAGCCGTTCTATGAAATGTTCTAGTGTTCACCGTCGTACATTTTACCTGTACTGTATCATTCGTAAGAACGTTACATTACACAGAAATGCTCAAGTCCAAAGCTGCTCAACCCCAGGCTCAAGGCTCAAGAATTTTAAGTGATCAAACCATACTTGCGAGGGCGCAAGTATGGTTTGATCTTAATAAGTTATTTTTTTATTTTGAGTTTTTATTGCGCTTGCCCTGAGAGTAACTGAAATAGGAAATGCAAGTGGCCCGTCGTTAACGACTGAATCCACCATTTGACCGTCTATGAGTCTTCAAAACGTTGAGCAGCCTTACTCTAGTGCAGCGTTTTTCAACCTGTGGGTCGTGTTTTTCAAGGCTCTATAGGGGGGTCGCGAGAGGTCGTAAAAATCTACCTCAGTAAAAAAACCTACTTGCATAAAAATTATCAGATATATGCAGTCGGAGGCATCAATCGCAAATCGGGGGGTCGCAAAATATTTTTTCATACTGGTGGGTCGTATCACCAAAAAGGTTGAAAAACACTGCTCTAGTCTATACTCACCTGAAGACGAGCGTATACGCACCAAAAAAGCGAATTTGAAACAGCCTAACCTATCGTTTCCTTCATCACCGACGGTAGCTCCACCAGCTNCACCAGTTGCAAATTGACGCGGACAACGTTCCACTGTTTATAACCTAACTCGAACCACTCGTCTGTGCCCGCACTCGCGTTCCAATATCATTGCAGCAGGGAGTCGTTGAACATCGGTCTGTTGTTGTTGATTCCGGCGAGGTTGTTGTTCATGAAGGTGGTTGGTTTAGCGGGGCTGTTTGGGGAGGACTTTAACTGGTTGATGGTGGGCGGGGGGGCCGGTTTGGGGGCCCGGGGGGCCAGCAGGTTGTCGACGTCGAGGTTGATGGCACTGGTCTCGGCCCACGTGGGCGGAAGGCGAGCGCGCGCCGCGCCTGTTGATAGCGACTGTGAGACTGAGCCGGTGAAAGTGGTAGGGTATACATACGCCGACTCGAGTAGGTCGATATTTGCCGATCGATATCGATAAAATTGGAAAAAATACCGTCGATATGACACACGATTTGAGGCTGGTGTAAGACTTGTAATTATTTAAAGGTAAAAGAGACAAACTGCTGTTGATAGGGTTTACTTAATTTGCGTTTTCTCATAAGTTCGTTTTTGTGCGTTCGTAAAAACACGTTACATTATAGACGGACATGTTCTACTTCCTAAGACCATACCATATTATTTTCTATCTCTGTCACTGTCACTCATAACAGCATCTTATTACAATGAACTAGAACGACTTACCAGTTATTTACAAAAAATAAGGTTAGCCCAAGAAGTTTTAATCTTGATTCTCGATTACAATAATAGTAAGAACAACGGTGTTGTTACAAGGAGAACACCAAGTTGAAAATGTGCGAATTTTCAAATTGAACCGAAAATGTCATATCAAAGGTCACGTACAACACGTCGAAAACTATGTCGANAAAGTGGTAAGGGTATACGCCGACTCGAGCATGACTTTGGTTTATGTGGGTTAAATTGAAATCGGAAAAATGCCGTTGATATGACAACCGATTTGGGTCTCGAGTAAGACTTGCAAGAGGATGAAGACAACTAACTATTTACTGTTTTAGCAACGATGCGATATTTCGTGTTTAAATTAATTGCCAAGTCAATATTTAACATAGAATCTAAAAAAATTTTTTTTTTCTGTTTCTCTCTTTACTCAATTTTTTAAAACGATACCTATGTATAAACTATTTGTGAAAACTATTTTGGCAAATGTGAAGTTTAATTGGTAACTCTATATGTGTTATAGAATGAAAAAAGAGGAACAGCCATTGGCTTTTCCATTCAGTATTTTGTTTTATTATAGAACTGGAGTAGACTACCAACGGGGTAAACTAAGTACAAATAAGTTCCGCAATCAGTTTACTTCCTAACACCATTATGATGTTGTCACCGTGTGTTGGTCTCTCTGTCATTGCAGCTCATGCCAACATTAGCTATGAGCGGAGTGGACTAGGACGACTTATCCTATTATATTATGTCGGCATTTAAAAACAGTAAAATTAGACATGAATACTTGAGATAGTGTTTATTCTTAATTAAACTCTTACTAAGAACGTCGGTGTTGTTACATGGAGAGCGTCAAGTTGCGAATGTAAGAATTTTCAAATCGAAGATGTCATATCAAAGGCCACGCACAACACAAGTTGAAAACCGATTCAANTCGAAAACTATGTCGATACTCGAGTCAGCTGATATTCCCGGCACATCACTAGCTCCGGTCTTCTTAGCAAATACATGTGACTGTTGCTGGTTTTACTTACGTCAGGGTGCGGTCGAAATGACGACCAATCGTCGAAAGGCTACTCAAACAGAAACATCAAATTATCACTTCATACACAATTTTATATAAGCCTCTAATTTAGGAACAAAAATTAAACAACAAATATGATACACATCTCATCTAATGAGTAAGTTTGACTTATAAAACACAATAAAATTATGTCATGGTAAAAATTCGATTTTGTTACAATACCTAAACGCTTAATACATAATACAGCATTCGAAAAGATTTTCAAGAACTGGTCAAAGCACTGAAATGGTTACAAATTTTATTGATAACGGTGGGTAATTCGATTACATCGCATCACACTTACGCTTACATTCGATCACATAATACTACTCCTCGGACATAGCTTTCTCCATCATATAGAGGACTTGTCCGGCGAATATGGCTGATTCGGACTTGGAGCCGCCGAACCTCATGGTCAGATCTATGTTAGTCAGGCAGTCGCCTAACCACGAGCGGAATTCAAGCATTATATTCAAGAATTCCGTCTTCATTATCAGAGGCGGCAACACTAAAACCACCGACGCTAGCAGGGAAATCACTGCCATCTGAATTTTCGGGTCAGGGGTGTGTCTCATATACGTGATTATTTGAAGAATCTCCCAACAGTAGCTTGAGCATTTCGGACAGTTCTTTGAAGCGAGAATTATATTCCCGACCACCGATAGATACTTCAAAAGCAGCACACTGTCAACATCGTGCTTTAAGTTGTGGTAGCTCAAGCTAAGCTGCTTGCATCCGAAGCCCGAAACGAGGGGTAGAAGAAGAAATCTGAGACTGCAGCGAACTGATTCCGCTTTGCTCTCGAGAACGGGTGCGGTCGGATCGTGTGGAAATATCTAGTCTTGTTGACTAAACGCCGGCGGATGATTTCGGCGGCGGGTAGGTCGTTTTCCCGCGTGATGATTTCCGGTTCGTCTTCGTCATCGTCTATGGCCTGCCCGGCCGGTTGCGAGGCCGCATTGACGCCGGCGATTCGACTCGCAGCCTCCGCTAATGCATCCAACATAAATATCTTTGTCGCTATGGAATAGCGCCCAACATCCGTGTGTATTTCTTTACACAAGTGCGCGGCGGCAACTTTCGGCTGGATGTACACTATAGCCACAACTGTGTTAAACTTGATGCTGTCAAAGTTCTCGACGTGGAACTTTTCTTCTATGTGCACGAATAGATTGAGGAGATCCTCGACCAGTTTCCTGTCTTCTGTCTTTAGCTGCTTGAGGACCAATTCTTCAGCTACATCGAGGCTGGCTTCGAAAGTTTCTGCATCTGGGGGGTCTACGAGCACCTCTAAAAGGTCTCTCAAATAGTTTGCCCGTTTCCGAGTAGCGACTGCCACGTCATTGCTCATGTCATACGGTTGCAAATCGTCATCGGAATCTAGTTGTTCCGACTTTTCAATCTCGCTGATGGTGCTTTTCGAGAGCGCGTAATCGTCCAATTTGTAATAAATACACGTTTTGCATATCCGCTCCATTTCCGCTTTGGTTTTGGTGGTGCATACTGTGAGAAGTGTATTCTCGGCTGGCCAGTTGTCGCCATCGACCACCCTTGTTGCGACTAGGTCTAGCAATCCTTGGAGGTTGATCGGTTTTACTTTATGCAACCGCGGGATTCTTCTTTCAGGGTCAATCAGGCATTTGTAAATGATTCCTCGAAGGATCCTTTGTATATCGACGCAGGTATCCCCCATGCAACTTAAATCAAAGTTCAAGTTAGCAGCCGCCTCTCTTTCCGAATCATCGTGAGTCGAAAGTATCTTGAATATGGTCTCGACAGTTGTCATGCCGATGCATCGAAACTCGTTTAGCAAGACCCTGAGATGCCTTGAGACGCCTTTGAAGAGTATGCTCTTAGTTTCTACCAGATCCCACTCGACGTTGTCTCTATTTGAGATCATGCTGCGGTATTTTACTGCTAACAGCATCAGCTGGGAGATATGCATATGTTGAGGAATGTTTGACACGTTGCATAGCTTCACATCTGACCACACGCTGGCCAATTTAAGAACAAAGCCAGCTAAAGTGTCCGCTGGATTATTTTTTGTGGTCGATAAGTAGTAGATGAGATTCTCGACGACAGTGGTGTCTTTGTAGTCGGTAGGCTTGTAGTAGAACGGTATCCGGTAGGTTAGGATGTCGTTCCAGTCTTTGCTCGAGTCGATATTATCACCGAGCAGATGGAAGATGGCCTGCTCGTCGGTTTTATAGTCTATAGGACAGCGCTTGAGCAGGATGAGAGCTATCGAGTCTATGGCCTGTCGATTCAAGTGGTTGAACAGCGTCTGTGTAAGTCTTCGTCGAACGAACTTGCTCAAAGACTGGTCGTTGGCGCTCCAACCGATTAGAATATCGACGAATTTCAAAATAACGTCCGTCATATTGTAGTTTATTATGACTTTCGATAAGAAATGAGCCAAGTATGATATGTCGTACATGACTTCTTGGTGGAAACAGCTCTCGCTCATATAATCCACGCCTCTGATCACGTGGAATATCAACTTGTAGCAGTAATCCTCGTGGGAGAACTCTTTCGGAGTTTCAGTCTGTAATCTATTGGCGACCCTTTCGGGCAGCGACGTGAGAAGTTGCACGAAATTCTCCCAATCCATCCTGTGCTTATAATTCTCGATTTTATCCTGCATTTCTACGCAGCTGCAGTCTAAAACCGCCGTCAGAACTGCGTCACTCCTGACGTATTTCAGAAGGATGTAAGATAAGGCTCTTAGCACGGTAACATCAGTTTCGTGCTTGAGGAACCCGCACAGAACCGTCAGGACTTCGTGGCTGAGGAAGAAGCTTTCTTCTAGAAGGAACAGCGGGGTGACGTCTTCTTTATAATGCGGCCACTGCGGCAACATGACCTTGATGATGAGGCCTAGTAGTTGCGAGTACGAATCCAAAACTTCTCCGGTCAAGATATTGTCGTCCAATCTGCACAATTTTTGCACCGTGATTGGTCCGGGGAGGAAAAACTTCAGCGTTCGCAGGTTTTCTCTGATTTTCGTCGCCTCGGCGTCGGTAGTGATTCTGTCAATCGTTTGCAAACTGTCAATGGCGGCTCGGATGGCTCGGCGAGCGCTCTCCCGTATAGCGGGCCTGTTGGCGTCGCTTCCTGAAAATAAAAAACACCTGAATGTGCCCAAAACTTACTGATATACTACACGAACATGAACCAACGGAACGGACGGACAAAATAAAATAATGGGAAAACAACAGTCACATGTATTTAGAGAGCTTATTTACTACGGAAAAGTGTTGATTTCTTCGTATAACATTTTGTGGTTATTCGAAGAAATCAATCATTAAAATTATAATTAAAGTGTGTAGAATGAAGTATTTAAAGTTGCTTTATATTCTCGGTAAGTTATACTTCACTACTTCACAATACACTGTTATAGATAAGATTATAAAGATTAAGATATAAAACTTAAAATAACTGAAATCAAGACATAAAAATAAATTAACACAAACATCAATAACTCAAAATGAATATCAAGAATATTCAAAGATTGTTTAAATATTTATGAAACAATCTTCGGTATTTTCATTTTAATTGTTGCACTTATTTTTATACGGTGTTTTAGGCCCAGAATAGACGGTGAAACGCAACTGCGACGAAACTGTAACTGCTACTTACTTTTGAGTTGCATCTAAGTTTCTGTCATAGCGTCCGTTGAGAGACCACACATGACGCGACCAGTTTGAAACTTTCAGTTTCCGTTTCATTCATAAGAATCATCAGAAAGTTGCAGTTTCGTTTCACCGTCTGTTCTGGGCTAAGGCCCGTAAGGCCGTACTGTTTAGGAATGGATAAGTCCATTCATAATCAGTACTGTCGTATGCACAATTTGAAATGAAACTGAATTGTTTAATTTAGCAAACACCATATAAAAATATGTAAGACATACATTCAGTTGCACAGGAATGTATACATTCTCATTAGTTTTATTTCGAAGTTTTTCGCGGTAAGGTTCAACATATTTAGAGCTCATAAGACCAAAACTTAACCAACATCTTAGGTAGAACTCGGTTCGCCAAATAGCAACTTTCTGCGGTTGCTATAAGGTTTAGTGGTTGAGTGGCTGTTCATAGTTCGTAACAGTCGTGATAAGCTGGTCAATATCGGTTAAGAGTGTCATCGCTTGTACTTATTTAAATGACACCTTATACAGCAGTAGCATCGTTCAATATCAAAATTAAAAATATTTTATTCAATTTAGACCACTAGTGGCACTTATGAACGTCAAAATACAGTTAAAAAACCGGCCAAGTGCGAGTCGGACTCGCGCACCGAGGGTTCCGTACAAACCTACAAGGTTTACAAAGTTCGTTCATTACGACAATCGAGTCATAACTATGGTATTTTTATTGCAAAATGAAATTCATAACATTACAATGGGGAAAGATGGAGGAGCATAAATTTAAGACAAAGATCTCTTTATCGTTGAAGTAATCCTTTATTTTATAGTATTTGATATGAATTTCAACTTGATAGCTCTACGCGTTCATGAGGAAAAAAGTAATAAGTTTATATTTATTAAAAAATATATATTTTGTAATGTAACTAAAAATTTATGGTTTTCGTAATTTTTCCTTTATCTATGCTATAACACGTTGCTTCGTACCAAATTTCAAGATTCTGAGTTCACGGGAAGCACCCTGTAGGTTTTGATTCCCTTGCAAGTTTCGAAAATTTGCGGCATAAACGGCTGTATCTTTTGATTGCGTTGGCTTAGAAGTTTGATTTTTTCACAGCTTCAAGGGACAGTAGACCTGAGTAATTGATATAAATTTCAGCTTCATACCTCCACGCGTTCCTGAGAAAAAGGGTCTTGACAGACGGACGGACAGACGGACAACAAAGTGATCCTATAAGGGTTCCGTTTTTTCCTTTTGAGGTACGGAACCCTAAAAAGGTAGGTTCCCATTTATGGGAAACTTTACATGTCTTATCTTTTGGGCCCTACCAGCACTTCGAGACAAACATATGGCAAGTGCTGAGAAGAAACGCTGGAACAAACTCAGTCACCACTAGTTGCCAGTAATTATCTAACGGTAAGAATCATATCGTCGTCATCGACAAGAATCAATCATTCGAGGTAGTAACATTCCTGTGCAGTGTGCATGTATAGTGTATAGTCTGGTCTGCGAGCACGTAGAATTTTGTCCAATGACCCCAAGCTACCCATCCTCGCACACTCACCGCGGGCGCGCGTCGCACAGTCGCGACAGTAATATAATTACGCGCGAGCGATAAGGATGGGTAGCTTGGGGTCATTGGACATAATTCTACGTGCTCACGGACCAGGCTTTAGTGTAGTGTATTACTGACCGGGCGCGGGCGGCAGCGCGGCGGCAAGCTGCGCAGGCGCCGCTTCTAAAGGACTGAGCGTTGGCGCTAGCGGTGGCGTGGACAGATCGCTCAGGAGGTCCAGGTTCGACGCCGCTGGAAGTAAAATTGAAGGTTCTGGTAAGTTATGTTTTTATTTCAATATCTTTTATAGAATTTTACCTTGAAAAAATCAATAATATAATAATGTATGTACAACACTAACACACACACACACACACATAATTTGTTCATATATCACAATATTTATGATTCATAATCTTTAAAAAACCACAATAATAGTCATCTGATAAGGAATCGGAGCTGTATATTTAATGTAAAAATGTAATCTGTAATGCTCACTCAACACAACTACTGCGACACAGGCCTGCGAGCCTAGTGCAGAAGCTGTGGTTTATTACATCACAGGAAATGATATTTGTGAATAAAGATTATTTACTATTTATAACTTATTCTAAGCACAAAAAAAATGAAAAGTTTAAACTTCAGATCAATTAACAAATAATTAATTTAATTAAATAATGGCTATACATTTACTAAAGTACGGCCAACTAGCAGCGATACAAAAGGTCGATACGACTGTCGAGTTGTATTCTGTCTCTTCCCATCTTGTGTATTTGTCGTAACGTCTCGTTCTCCCGCCAAAATATGTCAAAGTCACACGGGTTCACCGATGACATTGGGTTTGTTTACATTTGGTATCGCTTCTCGTTGGCCGTACTTTATGCTTCATAGTCACAAATCACAGAAACTAAAGGGAGATGTAAACTTTTTTTTTTTTTCTTATCTCTGACATGTGTTATGTGTACGCCAATATTAATATTATGTTTATGTATCTTTGTGTATGTCTATTATATTAATATGTATTCGTATGTTATTTATTTTATCTAATGCTATGTAAGTAGGTATATTAATTAAACGTCATATTTATTACACCGCCTTAATCTCTCTACTCGACCTGTGGTTGACTGGCAGATAATGCCACCTGGCATTAAGTCCGCCACTGTACATATGTATGTGCAAAAGTGTAAATAAATAAATAAATTTATAATCGGCGGAGATATTGCGTATAAAAAAGTTCATCCCCAATTTTCCACCCTTGGGGGTTGTTTTTTCTATTATTTAATTTAAATGGGACCACCCTTGAGGTATTACCTATACGCCGAAAAAAGATTTGTTCAAATCGGTTCATAATTGGCGGAGTTATCGCGTAACAAACATAGAAAAAAAAACATACGGGTCGAATTGAGAACCTTCTCCTTTTTTGAAGTCGGTTGATAAATAAAAGGTTTACATATTTGCAAAACATATTGACACACAAAAAACAATTGGCAGGGCACGCAGAACTGACTAAAAATGTACCACGTACCGGTAAGCGCAGCGTTAGTTTTTGAACGTTTCCCGCTAGGGGCGCTGTACAATCCGTCATACATTTAATGTCATTTTATGACGCGCTCACTAGTGAGCGCGTTGGTGTAAACTCACACTAGGCTCTCTGGTCAATCTGGAAATCATTGGAGAAGCCTATGTTCTGCAGTGGATGTCTTGTGGCTGATATGATGAAGTGCACTTAACCCGCACATGTGCTTTTTATTTGCAGAAAATTTGTGACTTTTATGACGTACCTAGTGTCAAAGTCATCTTCCAGCACTAGCGACGCGCTGCCACTGCTCGGCGTAGGCGCACAAGTCTTGAACAGGTCGTCGATTAGTTCCTGCGTGTTGTTGGTGGCGGGAGTGGCGCAGTCTTACCTCATATTACTGCAGCACATATTCCTCCCACTTATCTTGAGTCAAAAATGTCTTCCCGCCCACTTACTATGGGTCAAAGTAGTTCTCCCGCCCATTTACAGTTGGTCAAAGTCGTCCTACCTCCCACTTACTGTGAACCAAAGTGGTTTCCCCGCCCACTTACCGTGGGTCAAAGTCATCCTCTCACCCCCTTACCGTGGATCAGTCGTCCTTGAGCTCACTTACCGTGTGTCAAAAGTCATCTTCCCGCCCACGTACTGTCAGTCAAAGTTTTCTTCCCTCCCACTTACCTTGGGTCAAAATATCCTGTCACCCACTTACTGTCCGTCAGTCATCCACCCGCCCCTTTACCGTGGGTCAGTCGTCCTCCAGCTCACTTATCGCATGTCAAAGTTGTCCTTCCGCCCATTTATTGAGGGTCAAAGTCATCCTTCCGCCCACTTATCGTGGGTCAGTCGTCCTCCAGCTCACTTACCGTGGGTCAAAGTCATCCTCCCACCCACTTATCATAAATAAAATTCGTCTTCCTGCCCACGTACTGTAGGTCAGTCGTTCTTCCGTCTCTTACCTCGGGTCAAAGTCGTCTTCCAGCACTAGCGACGCGCTCCCACTGCTCGGCGTAGGCGCACAAGTCTTGAACAGTAGGCCTAAGATGCGCGCCGTGATAACTTTTATCGACGTCAAAATGTATGGGCAAAATCGATAAAATGGCGTGATAACCGCTTATCGCGGCGCGCATCTTAGGCCTACAGGTCGTCGATTAGTTCTTTCGAGTTGTTTGTGGCGGGAGTTGGCGCAGTCTTGACGCTGCAGCAAGCTAGCAACTAACTAGACCACTTACTGTGAAAGTGGTCCTACCTCCCACTTACTTAATCAAAGTGGTTTCCCCGCCCACTTACCGTGGGTCAAAGTCATCCTCTCGCCCCCTTAATACCATGAGTCAGTCGTCCTTCAGCTCACTTACCGTGTGTCAAATCCATCTTCCTGCCCACTTTCTATGGGTCAAAGTCATCCTCCCACCCACTTACTATGGTCAAAGTCGTCTTTCCGCCCACGTACTGTAAGTCAAAGTTTTCCTCCTTACCTATTACCTTGGGTCAAAATATCCTGTCACCCACTTACTGTTCGTCAGTCATTCTTCCGCCACTTACCGTGAGTCAAAGTCGTCTTCCCGCCCACTTACTATGGGTCAAAGTCGTCTTCCCGCCCACTTACTATGGGTCAAAGTCGTCTTCCCGCCCACTTACTATGGGTCAAAGTCGTCTTCCCACCCACTTACTATGGTCAAAGTCGTCTTCCCGCCCACTTACTATGGGTCAAAGTCGTCTTCCCGCCCACTTACTATGGGTCAAAGTCGTCCTCCCACCCAATTACTATGGTCAAAGTCGTCTTCCCGCCCACTTACTATGGGTCAAAGTCATCCTCCCGATTTAACTCGGGTCAAAGTCGTCTTCCAGCACTAGCGACGCGCTGCCACTGCTCGGCGTAGGCGCACAAGTCTTGAACAGGTCGTCGATTAGTTCCTGCGAGTTGTTGGTGGCGGGAGTTGGAGCAACCTTACCTCATATTACTGCAGCACATATTCCTCCCACTTATCTTGAGTTGTCCGCCCGTCCATTTACCGTGGGTCAAAGTCATCCTCTCGCCCCCTTATCGTGGGTCAGTCGTCCTTGAGCTCACTTACCATGTGTCAAATCCGTCTTCCTGCCCACTTACTGTGGGTCAAAGTCATCCTCCCACCCAATTACTATGGTCAAAGTCGTCTTCCCGCCCACGTACTGTAAGTCAAAGTTTTCCTCCTTCCCTATTACCTTGGGTCAAAATATCCTGTCACCCACTTACTACTGTCCGTCAAAGTCATTCTTCCGCCACTTACCATGAGTCAGTCGTCTTCCTGCCCACGTACTGTGAATCAAAGTTTTCCTCCCTCCCACTTACCTTGGGTCAAAATATCCCATTACCCACTTACTGTCCGTCAGTCATTCTTCCGCCACTTACCATGGGTCAGTCATCCTCTCACCCACTTACTGTGCGTCCTTCCGTCTCTTACCTCGGGTCAAAGTCGTCTTCCAGCACTAGCGACGCGCTCCCACTGCTCGGCGTAGGCGCACAAGTCTTGAAAAGGTCGTCAATCAGTTCCTGCGAGTTGTTGGTGGCGGGAGTTGGAGCAACCTTACCTCATATTACCTCCCACTTACCTTGAGTCAAAGATGTTCTCCCACCCGCGTATAGATGACCCACGCTGAACTGTCCCACCAAACTCAATGACAGGGGGGCGCTACCATCGTACAACTATATGGTTTCCAACATGGCAAAAATCTGAACCAGCGATCCGGTATTGACGGTGGCGCCCCGCTGTCAATGTCATGGATAGGACAGTTCAGTATTTTGGAACTATAGTGAGGGTCAAAGTCGTTCTTCCTTCACTTACCTCGGATCAAAGTCGTCTTCCAGCACTAGCGACGCGCTGCCACTGCTCGGCGTAGGCGCACAAGTCTTGAACAGGTCGTCGATTAGTTCCTGCGAGTTGTTGGTGGAGGGAGTTGGTGCAGTCTTGACACTGCAGCAAGCTAGCAACTAGCCAGTCCAATTACTTTGGGTAAAAGTCGTCATCCTGCTTTACCGTGGGTCAAAGTAGTCCTCCCACCCACTTACTATGGTCGAAGTCCTCATCCCGCCCACTTACTATGGGTCAAAGTAGTTCTCCCGCCCATTTACAGTTGGTCAAAGTCGTCCTACCTCCCACTTACTGTGAATCAAAGTTCCTCGCCCACTTACCGTAGGTCAGTCATCCACCCGCCCCTTTACCGTGGGTCAGTCGTCCTCCAGCTCACTTATCGCATGTCAAAGTTGTCCTTCCGCCCATTTATTGAGGGTCAAAGTCATCCTTCCGCCCACTTATCGTGGGTCAGTCGTCCTTCAGCTCACTTACCGTGAGTCAGTCGTCCTCCAGCTCACTTACCGTGGGTCAAAGTCATCCTCCCACCCACTTATCATAAATAAAATTCGTCTTCCTGCCCACGTACTGTAGGTCAGTCGTTCTTCCGTCACTTACCTCGGATCAAAGTCGTCTTCCAGCACTAGTGACGCGCTGCCACTGCTCGGCGTAGGCGCACAAGTCTTGAACAGGTCGTCGATTAGTTCCTGCGAGTTGTTGGTGGCGGGAGTTGGTGCCGGCGTCGGAGCGGTCTTGCCGTATGTCGCTGCTGCACCTATAGACGAATATTGAAAGGTATTTAATAAATAAATAAATAAATAAAAGGTATTTATTTCAGGCATAGCCCATAAAAGTGTTAGTAACAAAGGTCTTATTAACTATGGTTAGTAAATCACACAGTAACAGTATTAATAAACTGGCTAATTCGGCTTTTGTCGTCTCATTTTTCATAAAAATTGCCGACTTTCTTCTATACAAACAGTTCTACATTCGGATTGTGATTTCAGTACAATCATTAGGTGATAACTTTAAGCAGCGTACGCAGGCATAAGAGTAGAAATACCTACTTTACCTGACTTTTCTTCAATAGATCCTCAAAACGAAGTAACAAGTGTAATTTTTTTTTAAATTGTTTCCTTTTATCTTTTTTATTCATCAATCTGACACGAATATTACTTTGCCTGTAGGCCTTGGTATGTTACAACACCATACCATAAGAAAAATAATGTCATTACCCAGGTCAACAAACTATTTAGTCTGGCACGAATGTTACTCTGCGAAGCCTTGCCAGGCTAGGATGCGAGCCATGATAAAATGTTATCGATAATTTAAGACGACAAAAGTTATCGTTAAAAATCGATAAAATGGCGCGATACATTCTAGGCCGGTGTTGATCAGGGACAACAAGAAGAAAAGAAAAATAAAATTATAATAAAAATAAACTTTTTTAAAAACAAGCTTTTATTCTGAATTTCGAAAGCTTGTATCGCGCATGGAATTTATTCCTCTTTTTCTCTGTTTGCGCTACAAGCTTTCGAAATTCAGAATAAAAGCTTGTTTTTAAAAAAGTTTATTGTTATTATAATTTTATTTTACACTTTTTAGTTATATCTTAATCTCAGGACCCTAGACATTATCTAACACTAAAGTGCTCGAAAAGACAAATCCAACGAACCCAAACTCGATGAGTTTCCGCCGTTTTGTTTAGGAGTTCCTATGGCCACCTCCCGACTCCATCATCAGACCAGCTCAATGGTACCATAATATTGCATTGTCATCGTACTTACATAAGTGTACCAAATTTCAGCTCAATCGGTTGGGGAGAACTGGTCTTAAATTCAGTTGCAAGATTTGTCCCACACATACTAACAAGTGAAGTCAATATAAAGCTTGTAATAAAGCTTGTAATAATAAAGCTTGTAAAAAGAACAGCATCATACCCAGGTCGATCTTCTTGACAGGCGTGGCGGGCTTGGCCTTGGCGGGACTCTTGAGGCTGATGTTGAGGGAACGCGCCGCGTCGGGCGAGCGCCGCGCCGGACTGGTTGATACTACTTCTGCGTCGCGGTATACGTTCTCTCTGAAACATTCGATTTACATTTTATTTTGTTTGTAATGCTTGAGCTGCAATACTCACATAATGAGGGCTATCGTTTTTATACTGTTAATTATGAAAAATCTAAAACGTTAAAATAACGGTATAGTTGTGGCCAATGAGTTGCTGTCATAGTTACATTGACAATACGTCAATGTCACACGAGAATCAAACGTCAGAATAGAGGGACGCGCGGAGATGACTCCGCGCGCTTTTGTGCTAAGTGATGAATTGTATCTAAAATAAGGCAATATAATGTGAAAGATGAGTATCCAGTGTTTTATTTATGAGAATAGATCGACCGACCTTTAATAATACTTAACAGTTGACACCCCTGGCAATTGACAGGACCTTACTCTACAGTGGCGCCATTTTGAAGAGTGCAAATGCGATAGTCCTCCTACCACTTTAGCGTTCACCAGCTGGCGCCACTGTCTTCGCTACTAGCAAGTGACAGGACCTTACTCTACAGTGGCGCCAACTGGTGAGCGCTAAAACGATAGCCCTCATTGTCTGATGTTAGTTGAAGAAAGTATAAACAGCATTTTACTTCGCTTAAATGGCTTAGAATAATCACACCTCGCCTAATGAGGGTTTTCGCGATGGAAAAATCCGCCAGATGGCAATACGAGGCATGACATTGACAGATATGTCAAAATCCACCAATCATGCAGAATTTGGACCTCGCGGCTACGTATTCCGATCGTTCAGTTTTTGCGCCCGAGTCAAAGGGCTCGAAGCATCCTGAAGTTTGAACACGAAGCGTCCGAATACAAGACTCGATTAACTTCGGTTCATGACGAATTCGAACCTTGTTATAAGTAAAAGTAAACATTGCAATGGCAGCTGCCACTTTCGACAATCTATGGCGGTTATCACACTGCGCCGCGCTTCGCGTGATTTCATATAAAAAATCCCGCGCGCAGACGCGTTGTCAGTGTGCTATGCCGCGCGTGTTTTCTATACAAACTGAGGTACTTGCATACAATGATTAAATCTGTCGTCCCGCGTACCGCGGCGGAGCGCGGCGCAGTGTGATAACCGCCTATGTTGCCTAGTGTGCAACCTAGAGACCACTTAGAACTTCAGTTAACTTCCTTGTATAGTCAAAGTAAGTATTGTAGGTGAAGCATAAAACTACCTTGCATCAAGTGAAGATTAAATAACACAATATTTTTGTTGGACAACACACCAGATTCGAAAGTTTACATACTTGTTAGGTTTCCTGTGTCCGTACTCGCCGTCTGAGTCTTCTCTCTCATAGTCGTCTTCATCCTCTCTCCTTTCTTTGGGCTCATCTGCAGAAAGCATTTAAAAGTATTTTATTTTACAGAACTTATCATAGACAGATTTTAATGGCTCAATAAATAGAAAATCGAGTAANCCAGCCCTACATAAATATATTGACTTGGCCATCGCATGAAAACACGTGTAAATTAAATTATTTAGTGTGATGGCCAAGTTAATAATTTATGTAAAACGTTAAAGATTTCCTGGCCTGGACTTGGTATTACATGGATCTCACTACTTTTTACCGTAGAACAACTGAGTTGCGAGACTTGGTTTTTTTGACAAGTATTGTTTTTGATGGGATAGATTTTTCGTCGGCCGATAGTTTAGTCGGGCAGTTGATCAGTATGGGCATGTATGTGATGGGAAGTGCGCACATTACACAACTATCGGCCAACTAAAAACCGATGGTCTGCGCCAAGTCTAAACGGGATCTTCTAAAAACAGTTTCTGCAACGAACGAGATGTCTCCGTGGGAAAGAGCCCTAATACCTCAGATACACTTCTCGCGAAATTGGCCGAAATTAACCGATATACAGGTTGGAACTTTGTAATGCCACCTAGAGGGAAAGTACTCTTAATAATGCAGATAGAAAATTTTACTCAAAGAAAACATTCTTTTGTTTTTGAAAAGAAAGAGAACTTATATTGTGTTCTCACTCTTCGAACTTCAGTTAACTTCTCGACGACTACAAATAAAGATTAAATAACACAATATTTTTCTTGGACAATAAGTTACTAGATTTGTAAGTTTACATACTTGTTAGGTTTCCTGTGCCCGTACTCGCCGTCTGAGTCTTCTCTCTCGTAGTCGTCTTCATCCTCTCGCCTTTCTTTGGGCTCATCTGCAGAAAGCATTTAAAAGTATTTTAATGGCTGTTTTACACAATTTATTGTAGACAGGTTTTAATGGCTCAATAAATAGAAAATCGAGTAATAAGTAGAAGTAAGCTTACTAGTAGTAACTTACGGTAGTTTGTTATAGTTACTAAAAATACTGTTATCTCTAATTTAATTATCCTTTTGGGCCAACTGTTAAGAAATACACAGCCCTTTAAATTACATAATATGACAAAAAAGTTTTTCTCTGGTGATAGTTCACCAGAGACAAACTTTTACAATGCTTCTTTAGTGAGAAGGGATGAGTCTCTAGACTACTACAGAATTCCAATTAATCCTCTATGACTCAGTCTTAGGCTCGTATTACAAAACAACGCTCAACACAACACTCGATTCGATCTCTGTCATAGATTCCGTCCTGTGATAAGTCTAAAACTCTAAATATTTAATTCTTCCAATCAGAAGCATCCATCGAGTTTTGAGCGTCGTTCTGTACGGACCAAATGACTTATTGATGATAATGACGCAGTAAAGTAGTAGATACTGACCCCAGTTGGACCCCGAGCGGTCGCTGTACTCGCCCCAGCCGCCCGAGCCGCGGGTTCCCATCACGGCCGCTTCCGAAGACATGCCTGACAGATTCAACATTTTATTATCCAGCTCACATAGATTAACATTTTTTCTTCTTCTTTTTTGATGATGTTGGCAATACACGTCGAGGTCGACTTGATTTGTGCCATTTTCAAGTATATAAGTGATACGATTTACAAAGTTCAAGTAATGATATAATGAAGGATGATAGATGATACCCCTTCCCACCCTTTGAGTCTCAGTAAAGTGGTGGTGCTTTACTGAGACCTCCTATGGACAACTTGAGAGAACCAGAAGAATCACGATGCACTGTTTTGCTTCACTTGCCCACACTCATGCACGTTCACGAACACTCAATGGTCAATAATCCACCATTATTACACATCAATAGACGCTCGAACACGAATTTGAGGAAACAAAACAAAACCGCTAACATGACGCTTCAGATTCCCGCCAAGAAGTCCAGATTAACATTTAATAGAGTGTATGGTATGATGCACAGACCACAAACTAAAGGGAGATGTGACAAGGGGGCGGGGCCGGTGTCGCAACAATACGCCCAAAAATAAAACACATTGTTCGCGACAGCAATGATGACAGCAACGACGTCATAATGTAAACAGTTTGCATTGCTTGCGTCGTTTATTCAAAGTCGTCAAAGATTATTCGAACGTTGAGTACTGATACTGCAGTGGATAATGAGCACATATTTTGATTACTTTGTGTGTGTGAATTTCTAATGCGACACTGAGTTTCGAACTCAGCGCATTAGTTGGCATCTCTCTATATCTCTATGGTATGATGCTAACTATGCACGTCACTGTGTGCACCCTGCCTCAAATAGTTCGTGTCACCCAAAGTGTCCAAAAAGTCGACAACACAACCGTATTCCAATGAGGGTTTTCGCGAATGAAAAATCCGCCAGATGGCAATACGTATACGCGGNAGACGCGAGGTCCAAATGCTGCATGATCGGTTATTTTTGACATGACATTGACAGATATGTCAAAATCCACCAATCACGCAGCAGTCAGACCCCACATCCACGTCCCGCCATCTAGCGGATCTTTCATTCGCGAAAACCATCATTGTAACAAAAAGGTGTTGCGAACTTTGTGGGTTTAGGTATCACGAGCTATTTGATGTTACACATGTAGCAGCAGAAAGCTTAAAGGAAGAAAAACATTGGAAACTGAAATGGGACCTCACATATAAAAATTAATTCAATAATTTTAGGACTTGAGTGAAGAATTATTTTAGAAAATTGTGGCTTTGAATTTTCAACCGACTTCAAAAAAGGAGGAGGTTCTCAATTCGACCCGTAATTTTTTTTGCTATGTTTGTTACGCGATAACACCGCCAATTATGAACCGATTTGAACAAATCTTTTTTTGGCGTATAGGTAATACCTCAAGGGTGGTCCCATTTGAATTTAATAACAGAAAAAACAACCCCCAAGGGTGGAAAATTGGGGATGAACTTTTTTATACGCAATATCTCCGCCGATTATAAATCAATTTGAACGATTATTTTTTTGTTGAATAGGTATTATCAAAAGGGTGGTTTCATGCGAATTTGAAGAAAATATTTCACCCTCAAGGGTGGAAAATTGGGGATGAAATTTTTTATACGCAATATTTTTAATTTTTAGTTTTTTTTTGTGTTCACGCATTTGAAGTCGGTTTTATTTAAAAAAAAAAGTTAATTATTGCTTTATGCTGTCGACTTCCCAAGTACCAGCAGAAATTATGCGTTAATGGAGTAAGGGTTAAGAGCTTACCAATATATTTGTCTTTGTTTTTCTTCGCCTTTTTCCTTTCCTCGCGAAGTTTCTCATCGTCCTGTATGAAGTCGATGAGCTCTCGCACTTTGTGCCTCACGTTTATACCCTGAGGAGGAATATCAACTTTACTATAATTGTTTTTAATATTCTAGTTTGTCGATAGATAGGTAGATTTGACTTCACCTAAGATATCAAAGAAATAAGATTTTGGTAAATCATATTCTTTATCAGCACTGTGCTTTTGCCTTTGTGTGTGCCATTAAGACTATTGTATAGCTTTACACTATTATTTCGTTCGTTCGTTTTAGCCGAAAACACTCCTTGGGGGAGGCCCAAGGATTTCCACAAAGACCGGTCCTACGCCGCTCGCATCCAGGCAACTCCCACGACCATCACCAGATCGTCGGTCCAGCTAGTGGGAGGCCTGCCGACGCTACGTCTTCCGTCTCGTGGTCGCCACTTTCAAGAACTTTCCGCCATTATTTATTTAATTATAATTACATTCAATATGTTAAGTTCGGCTCTTGGCAGATAGACATCGAGTAATAATCTCTAATCGGATCAACACTTAGCTATAGCCTGGGACTACTAAACCTTCACTGGTTGGGTATCACTGGACGCAGGCGCAAATGTATTGTAGTGGTCAAGATGCCCATAACGGCTGCTGCCTTCACTTTCTATTGTGGTTAAACAACTTTGGTTTGCAAACTTGGCCGATTTGTAAAAGCTGAGATGTGCCCACAACCTTTTTAGAGGGTTAGATCCGCGCCAGGGAGGCGAAATCGTAGCTATAGAAAAGTTGAGTGGTGGGAAAAGTTCAGTTTGTTCCGGCGTTTCTTCTCAGCACTTGCCAGTTTGTCTCGAAGCGCTGGTAGGACAAAAAAAGTAAAGGAGACATGTAAAGTGCCCCTAGGGCTGCCTTTTTTTCTATTTACTATATTTTGACGTTCATAAGTGCCACTTGTGGTCTAAATTGAATAAATATTTTTGATTTTGAAAGAGGTGGATTTAGTCCCGTTCTTGTTCATCATACCTGATCCTTGCCGATGTCGTCGACGTATGTATAGTTCTCCAGCGAGCGCAGGTCGTAGATATGTTCCCGCGCTGACGTCACCACGCGCTCGGAGCCGTTGCGTACCAGGTAACTTAGCAGAAGCAGGCACTGCAATACAATATTTTACAATACAATACGCTTGTCTCCACCACCCATTGACGTTCATCATCATCATCAACAAATCAAATATTTTTTATTTATAAAAGGGTTTACATACAGTAGGTGTTATTGTTTTAGTAAGTATCTCAATCTTCCATCTTTTGGCATGCAAAATAGACAGTTTGACACCATACGCCTATACATAATTCGAAACCATAACTTTTTTTAAAAGACCCTTCATTCTGGTCTTAACTAACTTATTTAATTTTAAATTACCTGTAAATTACGATTTTTGTTCCCATTGTAATTGAAAAAAGTAGTTTGATTGAGTTGACATAATAGTGACGTCACTTGCTTGTAGTGCCATACAAAATCTAGTACTCTCCCGAGTTTCGTTTTGACAGTTTTAAAAAGTACGTCAATTGATTGGTGGTGTCAACATATCTATTATCTATCAATCATCAAGGCATGTCCTGTCAAGGGAAATCTCTACCGAAGCAGCAAGACTCGAGGTAAATGGAGGAATTGGCTTGTAAGTCGAACTTGAGTGAAGTGTACTCCACTCAATTCCATCTATGGAAATCTGACATTCGCATGTGTCAATAGGATATTTACAGGAAGAGGGTAGTGGTCGGCTGCTCTACCATTTAAAATATTATAAGGTCACGCCGCACATGAGCGGTGCCCTCTTCGGAGGACAGCACAAAGTAGATTTTGTATGTCTCAGTAGGGCGGCGTTGTATCTATAGTATAGCCCAGTCAAGTTAAATGCGCACCTCGCTGGAATGCGTCACTCGACCGGGTTGTAAGGTGTACAGCCAGAGTAAATACAAATGAGTAGGTCATCTTCATAGAAGCGCACCGAGCGCGGTTTGTATGTGAGCGCGCCAATACGTATGCGGCGCGGACGCACACACTCGGTGCGTTTCTATGAAGATGACCTACTCATTTGTATTTACTCTGGTACAGCGCAGTGGGACAGCGCCGCGCCATTCAATGCGCTATGATCTTCATAGGAAGTAGCAAATATGATTCTTATACCTTTCCACGCATGGTGTATATTACCTTGTAGGTGCGGCGTCAGCGCGCGGTGAAGGTGACTAGGGCCAGCTCCTGGTCTGCTGGGCCGATGTGAGCCTTACGTCCTCGCAGCACGGCGCAAGTTACCTTGTAGGTGCGGCGCCAGCGCGCGGTGAAGGCGGCTATAGCTCCTGGTCTGCTGGGCCGATGTGAGCCTTACGTCCTCGCAGCACGGCGCAAGTTACCTTGTAGGTGAACGTAGCTAGGGCCAGCTCCTGGTCTGCTGGGCCGATGTGAGCCTTACGTCCTCGCAGCACGGCGCAAGTTACCTTGTAGGTGAACGTANCTATTAAATTGCTCAAAGTGAGAGTCATTACCACATCGATATTCACAGCGAGCAGTCATCTTAAGTTTTTGTTACAAATAATAATTCAAGATGTCGTCCACGTTAGTAAACGTTGGTAGTCCTGATTGGACTCCGATTTATTTTGCTGAAGATTGTCACCCGTTACCAAACTTGCCGGCACAAGAAAATATTAAGAAGAAAAGAGGAATTTCAAAATCCAGGAAGAGTGCACAGAATTTGGACAAGAAGTTGAAGATGGCGTCAACATCTTTCGTTAAAGTGAAGCATGAAAAAGAAGGACGACAGCTCATAAAAATAAAGATTTTTGACTTGACTACTTCTCCGGAGGCGATCGAGGATGATTCAAGAGACGGAGATGTAATCACTAGTGCTCAATACATTGTGACAAGTGTGGTGGACAATATCCTTCATGAAACGGAGGAACTTGTATCAAAAATATCTCGGAAACTTGGAGGAAGTGAATATTAGTTTTGTGATTTCTATTTTTGTTTTTTCTTATTATCTTAAAAGTAAAATGTTAGTTTTAGATATGGGCTACTATGTAAATGATAATTATAATTATTGTGTAATATATTTGTAAGTAAATAAAAGTTTGTAACTAGGTAATTATTATAATAAAAATAAAACATATTTACCTCAATCTTGGGTTTTCATTTTACTGTGTAGATATTTTTGCATTTTAAGTTATAAGGTTCTTGTTAATATTTTTAAGGGATGAGTATCTACAATTAATTGTAATAAACCTCAGATCCTTAAAATGCAACAATTTCTAAGATGTTAAAAAAATAAAAAAGTTATTTGAATCATTAATATTTATTAATTAGAAAATATTTATAATCACAATATTAAATTAACATAAAAACTATTATTAAACTACATACAATTTTAAATCTACATTAACATTTTATTTAATTTTTCTTTTTAAATTAATTCACAGTAATCTTTTTCTGTACACACCATTTTCTTATACACACAACATTTTTTAAAGCACAATATTGTGAATTAGTATGAGTAAAACAGTTATAACACTTAAAATTCATACAGTACATTTCACTCAGGGTATTTAAATTAGGAATACCCTTATTGCTTATATCTGTAACATAATTATGGCCACACAATTCCTGCATCCATTTTACTTTTTCTTCACCCTTTACAATTATATGATAGTCTTTTAAAAAATGTTTTACTATTCTTTTAAATTCTCTATAGTCTATAAGACCTTCCCGCCAAAGGAGGTGTCTGTGTTTTTCAAGCCAACAAACCATTTTCTTTTCTTTGTATGTTAAAGCAGAAAAGGGATACGGTGGTTTTACTAAAAAAACTTGGGTATTGTGTTCCGTAGCTGTAGCCAATTCTTTTACAATAAAATCATTATGCATATTTTTGAATCCTTGTAAATCCACATAAATAATTTCTCTGCTCATGATACCTTTTTTATAANTCATGTCTTGGTGGAATGTGTCCGGAACGGGCAGGCCAGGTCTCAGCTGTTCCAACCTGACGGGTTTTCAGTCGGCAGGTGCAACAGCATCCTGGCTTCTCCTATGTCGGAGGAGGCGAGAGCCTTATACTGTGTTTTTCTAGCTTTTTAGTTTCCTAATTTTAGACAATAAGACACAAATACATTGTACCTAAAATATTGTCTAGATATAATATATTGTACCTAAAGTTTGTATCTAATGGAGCGACATTGTCATCTTGACAAAGCTCCTTAAATAAAGAGAAAAAAAAAATACAAAGAATTTAAATAAACTTTTACATCGCGTATATTACAATGGTCAAATTCTGACATGGACTTTTCTGGTTTATGCTTGCGGGCAGTTTGTAACGCAATAATAACAAATCGAGGCTTGTCGATTTGCGAAGATGTTTTGATTGACCATGTGTGTTTACGTGTCTTAGGTAGCAGAGGATATTCATACAAATCCCAATTTCTAAATGCGTTATAGAACGATCTTTCTCTAAATGTTTCAATATATGCTTCATCATCATTCCATNTGGTCAAATTCTGACATGGACTTTTCTGGTTTATGCTTGCGGGCAGTTTGTAACGCAATAATAACAAATCGAGGCTTGTCGATTTGCGAAGATGTTTTGATTGACCATGTGTGTTTACGTGTCTTAGGTAGCAGAGGATATTCATACAAATCCCAATTTCTAAATTCTAATAAAATAAAACGACTGTCTTCTTTGAAAGCAAGAACATGAGAGAGTTTATTCATAGATAAACCAGATACAAGGTATCATAGACAAAAAAAAGTTTTGGTTATTGTTTATGATATTTTACAACACCCCCACTATATCTAAACAATAACCAATCACTAATTACCACTCAATATTAATTTACACTGTTAATTAATATTTTGGATTCCTAATCTTTTCAAATAATTATAGTGTTTTATACTGTTTACAGCTTTTGTTAGCAAATCAGCTGGCATATCTGACGTACATAAATAATTTACTTTAACAACATTCTCATTTAGCAACTCTCTACAATAATGATATCTAACATCAATATGCTTAGTTCTATTGTGGAATACAGGGTTTAACAATAGTTTTTGAGCACTTTGGCTATCATTGTATAAATTAATTTCATAAAAATTATTAGTAATTTCATACTGCAAGTTTCTTAAGTACACAGCCTCTTTGCAGGCTTCTGAAATTGCCACATACTCTGCTTCTGTACTAGAAAGTGCAATATATTTTTGTTTACTACAACTCCAAGAAATAGCAGACCCCGACAAAGTGTAGCAAAACCCCGTATAAGATTTTCTATCGTTAACATCATTGCTCCAATCAGCATCAGCATAACCTTCAATTTCAATATTATTATTTTTACAATATTTCAGTCCTATATTTTTGGTTTTCTTTAAATACCTCAATACTCTCTTAGCATAGAGCCATTGCTCTTCATTACTACAGTTATTAAATTGACTCAGGTAGGAAACTGAATAAGCTATGTCAGGACGCGTGAGTACAGCTAAATACATTAAGCTCCCAATTAGCTGCTGATATGGATTCTGAGTTTTACAATTTATGTCTTTTTTACATTTCAAGTTTGCCTCCATTGGAGTATTAACAGTTTTACAATTTGTCATGTTAAATCTGCCTAACAACTTATCAATATATTTCTCTTGACTTAAACTGACTGTACAATTCTGTTTATCAATGTTAACTGACATACCTAAACATTCTTTTATTTCTCCTAAATCTTTTAACTCAAAATTACTATTCAACATATCTTTAAGATTGTTTGTTTCAGACTTGTCATTTGAGAAAACAATAAAGTCATCGACATACAAAGTTACTATGGTTCTACTACTGCCAACAATTTTATTATACAAACATGGCTCCAATTTAGATTTATGATAACCAGCCCTTAACATACAGTCATCAACCTTTTCNACCTTTTTATGCCACGCCCTGGATGCCTGCTTGAGACCATATATGGCTTTGTTTAATTTAAGAACTTTTGAATTATCTTTACACTCAAAACCAACAGGTAAGTGCATATATATTGTCTCATGCAAGTCTCCATTCAAAAAAGCTGTCTTTACATCAAGGTGTGTTACATCCAAGTTCAATTGTACTGATAATGCAAATAATAATCTAAGTGTGGTGTGCCGCACAACTGGAGAAAATGTCTCGTCATAGTCAACACCATATTTTTGAGAACAACCTTTAGCTACAAGTCTGGCACGATACCTTACATTGTTTACACTTAAACAATCTCTTTTCTTTTTCAAAACCCATTTACACTTTACAATATTTACACCAACAGGAGCATCAACAATGTCCCATGCATTGTTTTTCTCAAAGCTTTCCAGTTCATCTTTTACAGCCTGTTTCCAATGTTCTTTTTCTGGTCCCTGTAAAGCTTCTTCGAGTGTCAGTTCATTGTAATGTTCATCATTTTGTTCTGAACACAAAAAACCATATCTATCTGGCTTTCTTCTCTGCCTTTGAGGTAGTATTTTTCTACTTATAACTTCTGGAACTTCTTCATCAGTAGTCACAGATTCATCCACCACAGTATCTTCCATGTTATCATCATTTGCTGTAGAAGTGAACGAATCCTCATCTGTCATGTCTGCGATATCCCCCACTGAATCTTGACATACTGAACTCTCTTTGAGTTCTTCTGCTACTTCAACTTCTAGATAAGAATGACCATCTTCCATTACAATGACATCTCGACTGGTTGTGACTGTTCGAGTTAAAGGATTATAAACTCTATAACCTTTAACATCTTCAGGATACCCAATTAGAATGCAGTGCTCAGATTTTTTGTCCCACTTACGTCTTTTCTCCTTAGGTATGTGCTTCATGACTGAGCTGCCAAATATTCTTACATGACTTAGGTTCGGCTTTGTCTTTGTCCACAGCTCATATGGTGTGCGATCATTCAATCCAGTTTTTACAATTCTATTCTGTAAATAAACAGCAGTGTTAATGGCTTCAGCCCAGAACTCTTTACCCAGCTTAGCTTCAAACAAAAGACATCTGGCTTTTTCTACAAGTGTTCTATTCATACGTTCACAAAGCCCATTTTGTTCAGGTGTGTATGTGTTCGATTTCTGATGAATAATGCCCTGTTTCTTCAAATAATTATCAAAATCATTATTGCAAAACTCCTTGCCATTATCACTCCTTAGGATTTTTATTCTTTTTGAAGTTAAGTTCTCTACTTTGGCTTTGTACTCTTTAAAACATTGCAAAGCTTCATTCTTAGTCTTTAGAAAATAAACATAAGTCATGCGGCTGTGATCGTCAACAAAGATAAGAAAGTACCTCGATCCTCCTATAGAGAGATTCTCCATCGGCCCACAGATGTCACAGTGTACTACTTCCAACAGCTCAGCACTCCTGTTGCCTTCATGAGGAAAAGGCAATCGGCTTTGCTTCCCTTCGCAGCACACGACGCAGTTCGACTTACTGATGTTGACCTTTTTATCAAACAGCACTCCCTCCACAGCTTCCTGCATTTTGTTCATGTTGAAACTGTTG